CTATCTAGCTTATTTAACACATTTAACTTTCCTACCTTCAGAGTTTCGTAATTTGCATTTCTGTCACTTTAAATGAGCTGAAAATTTGCTGTTAGCTAGCTGATAGCCATCATATCATTTCATTACCACTATATGCATATTTTATGTAATTGTCAGCTAACACTGGTGCTCAGGCGCATGAGCAGTGAAATAGAGGATTAGTTATTGTAGAGATACATTTTGACATGAAAATAGAGTTCATTATTTAATTTAAAGTCTTTTGTGAGTCTTTTTTTTTCACAATAAGCAGCCACTTGTTTTCAGGAGTTTTAAATCCAAATGTTTTCAGTTTCAGTTTTATTTATGTAGCGCCAATTCATGAAAAAAAAAAAGTCATCTCATTCCCCTTTTCATATAGAGCAGGGAAGAGATCCAACAATTCCCCAACAATGTCTGACTACCGCTTTATTGAACCCATCATTCACAGTCAACATGAGCAAGAGGAAAGGAGACATAAGAATTAGGAATTAGAGATGATAATGCAGACTGTATTTTATGAAAGTTGTAAGTTGTAGTGCTGTAATGAATTTTATTCATCATCTACAGACTGATGACATTAGTTAAATAAGCGAGGACGTTGTTAGCTTTGTAAGATTTTAGTTCACTGTTGCACGTACCTGCGCTGGTTGTCATTGTATAATTTGCACCCTGCCACACTGTAAAAGTACTCTGTAACAGGTAAAAGTCCTGCATTGAAAATGTTACTAAGGTGCAAGAATAATCATGAAAATGTAGAACAGCAAGACGTCAACAGGGCATTTTTCACTGTTTCCTGATGTTTTTTTAGACCAAACATTAATCAGTTAATTAAGAAAATAATCTGCACATTACTCAGTAATGACAATAATCATGGCAGCCCTATTTTAATGCCATTATCTGACACCAAATATTTTACTTTATTAGAAAACCTTTATTTAACCAGGAGAGGTTCCTTGAGACTGAAAATCTCTTTTCCAAGAGCCTCCTGCCAAACATAGGCAGCAGCAAGTCACTATGCAAAAATACAATACAGATATAATAAAGAGTAAATTCTACTAACTGACACTAAAATTACAAACAATGAGAAGTAATAGAATCAGCCTCCTTCATCAGTAATTTAAAATTGCCACATGTTCTTTCAATTTAAAAAGATTTTGGAGGGAGTTCCAATAAGTACTTCAAAGAACCGCATAAAGTGTACGAGAACCAGTTCCCAAAATGAAGAGGTTGTTCAACTGGCGATGGCTCTTTGCAGAACCAGAGAGCCTTTTGAAGAACCATTATTTTTTGAGTGCGCTGCCAAACGTTTTTTCTATCATTAGAAACATCAGCAAATGTGTGTTGGGGAAAACTTACAGTTCTTTAAGTAGTATATTTGTCTTATATTTTTTACTTAACATTTTCAAGGCTGCACTTTTACAGAGTATTTTGGTAGCCTCCAAGTACTTTTACTTAAGTCAAGGAATACTTCCTCCACCTCTGTCAGCTGCAGCAATTAATAAATAATAGTAAAAACAACAATCTACTAGTTGTCAAATATTTTTAAATAATCTATTAATCGGTTTGATTTTATTCCAGCTTATGAAATGTTAAGTATTTCTGGGGTTCTTTCCTCCTCTATGACAGTAAACTGATTGTCTTTGGGTTGTGGTCTTGTTGAGCTTTTGGAAAACACTGATCGACAGTTTTTCAACATTTTCAGACACTTTAATCGATTAGATACGATAGTCTGTCACCTACTCACTCATTCATCGCTCTTAATTTGTTATGTTTTCCTATCTCTCAAAAGCCACCATCCTCCATTTTAACAGTTTTTTTTTTTTTGTTTGGCCCGGTTGGTGTAACCGAACATTGTGACAGAGTCTTACAAAACACCACATCGCTGCATTTCTCCAAACTCTCGCAGGAAACACAAAAACGTGAGGTTTGACAGTGAAATGAAACAACGGCAGCTTGTCGCTCGCTGCTGGTTTAGGATTCAGACCAGCAGTTTTGAAAAATACGCTTTCATTCTTTTTGCATTTCAATTGGATTTAGGGCTTCGACCAACATGGAGCGATTTTGATTAAATGTACAGCCTCCAAAGACTTTCGCTTTACTTGAGTATTTTCTTTTCATGCCACTTCCTACTTCTACTTCATTTCTTCTCAGAAATAGTGTACTTTTTACTTCAAATTAAACTTTTTACACACAAAACACATGAAGAGTTCATAAAATATGATGCTTTGTTATAAATTAAACTACACCAGCAGTTCATACAAGTACAGCTGAAACGATTAGTCTGTTTGCAGAAAATAAATTGGCTCTTTTCATCTCCCTGTAAAAACATTTCATGGTTCCAGCTTCACAAATAACATTTGCTGTTTTTCCTTTAATTATTTTAATAATTTGAATGTAGTGTTAATAATGTTGAGCTTTGTGTCACTTTGGGCTCTGGGTGATGGCATTTCTCATATATATATATATATATATATATATATATATATATATATATATATATTTTTTTTTTTTTTTTTTTTTACAATCAATCGATTAATGGAGAAAATCATCAGCAGATTAATCCACAATTAAAACAGAGCTCCACCTCAACATCTACACAGCAGTAAAATCACGCTTTTACATGAATGCATGATTAATAATCATCTCATAAAATAATATATATAGTAGAATAACACAGGGGACTTTTTTCTGCATTGCGTACTTTTACCTTTAATACTTTAAGTACATTTTCCTGATTATACTTACATACATTTAATTACTTAGGTAACATTTTCAGTGCAGAACTTTTCCTTGTAACAGAGTACTTTTAAAGTATAGTACTCGTACTTTTACTGAAGTAAAGGATCTGAATACTGTCCACCACTGATAGAAATAGTCATGCAGATTTTTAAGGGACGAACATTTTCATTTATTAGGTCCGTTTTGTATTTTACGCACATAAAGGCGACAGCACGTTGATCAAACCGACACCAACAACGGCAGCAGAACTTCACTGGGAGGACGCCGTGTTGTGGTTGTGATGAAGTCCAGAGGAGTTCACCCCAAAATACATCCCTTTTTACTTAAGGTTTAATATTGCCGCTTTAAAATTCATTTATATGGCAGTGGTGGAATGTAGCTAAGTACATTTACTCAAGTAGTGTACTTAAGTACAAATTTGGGGTACATGTATTTTCTTCTAGGGCTTTAAATAACAATTTTCATTGTTGATTAATCGATTGGTTGTTTTCTCAGTCAGAAAACGGTGGAAAATGCCGGTCAGTATTTCCCAAAGCTCAAGAAGACGTCCTCAAACATCTTGTTTTGTCCACAACCCAGATATATTTACTTTACTGTCACAGAGGAGGAAAGAAACAAGAAAATTTCAACATTTAAGAAGCTGGAATCAGAGAATTTAAAGAAGAAGAAAGAAAAGAAGAAAAAGTAGATTATCAAAGTAGTTGGCGATTAATTTAACAGCAGCTCTACTTTCTACTTCTATTACACTACATGCCAGAGTACCTTTAAACTTCACTACATGTATCAGACATCTACTTTACAAATTAAGATTTTTTACACATACAGTACTAGACTTCCAAACTTTTGACAATTCAAAATTCAATTAAACTTTATCGCTACAAAAGTTTATTTAAAAGTACAGCTGAAACGATTCATTAATTAAATTGAATGAAAGAAAATTATATTAGCAACTATTTCGATAATCGGATTTGCTGCTTTTTCCTTTCGATGTTTGCAATTTTATTTATTTCTGGACACAAGCACAGCGAAGGTGTCATTTTGGGTTGGGTTTGAGTTGCAATCCAATACAAAATATATAATATGTTAACATGTTTATATTAATTACATTTAAAAATGAAATGAGTAATAATGTAATGATATAACAAACAATTCTAACAGTACTTTTTCAGCACAGAAAGATTACAGTAGTTTAACTTCAGTAAAGAAATACTTCCTCCACCTAAGTCTGTTCGAGCAGCAGATAAATGTATATAACATAACTAATTTGATATCAACAATTACATTAATCTCCAACCACTTTCATAATATATTAATCAATCTGAGTCATTTAAAATTTCATTCTTTCCTCTTCTATGGCAGTAAAGTGAATATAAATATATTTGGGTTGTGGACAAAACAAGACGTTTGAGGACGTCTTCTTGGGGAAACACTAATCAACATTTTTCACCATTTTCGGACACTTTATCGACCAAACAACTAATCGATTAATCAACAAAGAAAGTAATAGATAGTTTCAGCCCCCAGAATAATGCATAGTGTCAGAATCGCCTGGTCAACTGTCACATATGAGTGGGTGTCCACACACTTCTGTCCACATGGTGTAAACAGTTTTTACTTGCTTGCTTTTAGGACGCACATCCCCCATTGAAACTTTAAGAGTTTTTTTTTTTTTTTTTTTTTCTGGCCCGGTTGGTGTAATCGAACATTGTGACAGAGTCTTACAAAACAACACATTGCCGCATTTCTCCAAACTCTGACAGGAAACGGGGAAAGTGAAATGGCAGCTTGTCTCTCGCTGCTGACACAAAGGAGTGGACAAACGCTGTATCCGTCCATCACTGAGACTTTACCGTGACGGAAAAGATTTAGTAAAGGACAAAAACATCACGCAACATCACCTGCATCTCTTTCATCAACGAACCAACAAGTGCGCTCAGTGCATCACAGCCAAGTTTACTTTGAAACAACTATATTTAAATCAAAAGTGCTGAGACAGTAACGAAGGCCGATACTCTGACAGTGTGCAGTCAAAGACGAAGATAAAATAAAAAAGTATATTGTATTAACTTTGCAGAGCACCTCAAGCAATTTAAATGGTCCACAGTGAAGAGAAAGGATGAAAACAAAACAAATATTTTACAGGACAGAGTCAACATTTTAAGTTGATCTTCAGACAGTGAAATTGATCCCCCCCCCCAAAAAAACATACAAAAACATACAAAAACATTTTCAGTGGGACAAACCTTTGCTTCATGATGCAGCCGGGCAGTTTATGATCTGAAAGGGGGAAACTCCAGGCTTTAAATGCGTCGCACTTCCTTCCACCTGCTGTATGAAGAAGTCGCAGTAAGAAGAGACGACACGGAGCCCGAGACGTAGTGAGGGATGTTGCTGGAAATGGTGTTGATCGATTGAGTGGAAACAAGACAAAAGCAGGAAAACAGAGGCTCTGACTGTATCAATCCTTAAGATTTCACATTTTAAGCATTTAGATTTTTTCACGTGCACTTAACAGAAAGAACGAACCTCTGAAGAATTCAGTCAGGGCTCGTAGAAGCTCTCCATCTTCCCACTGTTTGATCTTAAAACTGTATCTAATGGTTATTCATTTATAACAGCTCGCTAGCAGCATCTCATTACAGACCAGAAACTAAAACCCGTTGGATTGTAAATGGAGTTTTTTGCTTTTCTTAGCTCCTGTCCTGATGGTGGCCACGTTGTAACCTCAACGGCGGCCACTGAAGGACATTTCAGACTCATAAATGCCTGCCGTCTGTGCCGTTTTGGCGGTGGGGTTTCTATATTCCGTTGTTTTCAGTTATATCTTCTTTCTTCCTTCTTCTCCTTCCTCTGTGTTTCCTACTATGAAACACTGGCGACTGAAAGGGAGTGAATCATGATGGAGTTGGAGGTGATCGATGTTGAACAGCAGTTACTTTCTGTGAAATTACTAAAACAGAGAAACGAGAGAAGGCGTCTGAGGTGATGTATGACCCTCGAACCGGGTGAGGCACAAGGAGGACAAGCCGGAAATGCGACGACTGCAAGTCGACCAATCACAGTTCTTGCGGTCTGCGTTGCCGCGACATATAGTTACATTATTGGGGAGGTGCGTGTCAGGCTACGCCCTAGATTTGGTGCAGAAGTATAAAATTGGCCTCAAGGCTCAGCAGCGTTTTGAGCTGAACTGATTTTGTTCACTTATTTATTCAGGCTATTGTCATTAAAGAGATACATTGGTTTGATTTTAAAAGACAAAACAATTAATTGATTAATCAGCAGATGAAAGACTGAAAATAATCCTTAGTTGCAGCTATGATGCCATTTCTTCTGGCTCTTGCACAGGATTCTTAATTAGCCTTCAAAGCTCAGATTGGCTCAGTTGTTTTTCTAAAACAAAACGACAGATGTGGTTCACTAATTCAGTGGTCTGGATTCAGGGTTACGGATGTGATGTTTGCTAAAATGCTAACAAAGTACACTTAGCGTGGAACATTTCCAATTTTATGTTTATGTTTTATATTTTAGTGTAGCATGTTTGAAATTAACGCATTAGCAGTTTACATGCTATCGTTAGCATGCTTCATGTTAGCAATTCTCACATGCTCACTCTTAGTAAGTCAGCACGCTAATATTTAGCATGTTGTGTTTAGCATTAATCTTAATTACAAGTACAGATGAGGCCGAACTGAATCAATAGCTTTAGCGGTTTCCGGTTATAAAGTTAAGCGTTTGACCCGCTGGTGGCGCTGGAGAAAAAAAAATAAAATAAAAAATCAGGGGACCGCCAAAGTTGGAGGGATTGTCTGTGCAGTATTTCACTGCAATCCATAAGACAGTTGTTGAGATATTTCAGAGGTAAGTGGTGGAGCGACTAACAATATTTGGACTCATAGCATGGCTACAAACAATAAAGTTAAGCTAAAGGCCACATTTTGTTTGTGCGAATGCGACTCGAGAGTGTTGAGCCAGCTGTGGAGCCAAATGACAGATATTAAACCAAAGCTACAGTAACAAAGAGGAAATGTTTTAGTAATGAAGAGGTAGTCTGGAACACCTTCTAAATAAACAAATAGAGAATACATTTAGTGGCACAAAAAAAAAGAAAAGAAAAAAGAGTCATAATCTGGTTTCCTTTGCACATGTGACATTTTGTTCAATTTGTGTTTGTTTACCTGCATAAATATTCAACATTTCACATCAGGAAGGTGTTCAAAACAAGTGTTTTGTAATTGTAAGTCCAAATTGATAAATGTTTTTTAGGTCTTTAGTTTAAGGCTCTGGTTTCCAGTGCTTTCAGTCTGTACCCTCAGGACGTCGTCCTCATCTTCGTCTTTGGCTCAGCTTCTTGACTCGCTGCTTTTTGAAGTCGATAAGGCAGCCGGTGGCCTCTGAGATCGGAGTGAAGGCTCTGATGGGAGAGTTACTGATCCGGGGCACTGAAACGCCGCCCTTTTCCTCGTCTTCCTCCTCCTCATCATCATCATCCCGCAGATCGATGACCTCTCTTAATACAAGATGAACACATTTGCCCGTTAAAAAAGAACAGAATAATTTACTAATACTTATTTGTTCCCTGCTGTTTGATTTTCATTTGACTATGTCTACAGCTGGGAAAGTACAGAAACAAATGTATGTGTGACACAAAGACAATTTATTATTTTGGCCCGTAAAAAATGTTTGGTGGTGGATTTTTCCAGCCACCTTGGCAGGTGAGCCAAAACGTTAATTTCCACCTGTGGTGCGGTGGCTTGTTTTTGGATTTCTCATTGCCAAAACGGGCGACCTACCAGCACCTGACTGTTTTCTTGCTTTACACACTTTATTACATGTTTAATAAAAACTGTTAAAGTGGAACGAGAAAGCGAGGAGTGGCGTTAGCTGCAACAAAAGTTTAGCAACTGGATTTAAACACTACAGAGAAGCTAAATTGCAGCCAAAATATGCTGCAACTAATTAAATCATTAGGTATAAAAAGATGTCAAAAAGATAAATAAATGGAGCTCAAACCGGTGTCTTCAAAATGCTGAAAATGCGTGTTCCTACTGTAAATAAGTTGATTAAGACTGGACCCAAAGAAAAATGCATCTGTAGATAGTTAATGGTTAACCTGATTTACACGACGCACTGGCACAGCAAGGTGTTAAAACTCTCAATTTAAATCATAATCATCATTATAACAGTGTTATTAAAGACGTCTTACGCTGGCTGGAGTTTGGATCCTGATGGTCCGGCCTCTGTGAACACAGAACAACATCTGAATTAACTGAAGTTTGACTGATGAGCGTTTTTGAAACCTGATTCTGCTGCTGATTCTTTTGTTCTGAGGCTGCGAAAACAAGTCTGGAGGTGATCTGATCGAGCTCATGAGGTGCAAGTCTCACCTGTAAACCAGAAAATATTAACCATCAGGATCAGAACTCGCTCTACTGATCTGAGGGCCAAATGAAGGATCAAGTGGGAGACTAGACCCACATTACTACACTTTAATTACCGAGTTGTTTTATATACACACACACGTTACTGTGATATAAAAATTAGTCTGATTTTGGCCATATCAACCAATCCTAGATGGAAGGCTCAAAATTTCTCTTAGTTTTGACACAATTCAAATTGTCACGATAACTTTCATTATCAATTAATGACACACTTTGATTTTCAGTTTATCAATCATGTTGTTTATAAAATGACAGAAAACAGTGAAAAACGCCGTCAGACCCCAAGTTGATGTCTTCAAATTGCTTGTTTTGTGTAAGATAATAAACATTTTGTCTACACTGATGATGATGAATCCTCTGACTTTTCATCTCAGGTGAATATTTCAACTGAATACCTGCAAAACTAAAGACATTCCCATCAGCCTCATCTGTAATTTGTGTTTAGTGCTAAATAATACAACTGTTAGGATGCTAACAAGGAAAACTAAGATGGTGAACATGGTAAACAACATACCTATCAAACATCAGATATGTTAACATTGTCATCATGAGCATGTTAGCTTGCTGACGTAGCATCAAGTATAGTTACTAGTATCTAAATGATAGATACTAGTAAAATGGAAATAATTACTAGTAACTATTCAAATATTAATAATAATAATAATAGTAATAGGTGGTTTCTGAACCGCAGAGCCCCATTGATTTCAATTTGCTAGTTACTAGCAAACTCAAAAATAGTAACTAAAGGATTAATTACTAGTTACTAAAAATTAAAAACTAGTATATAATCAAATCTTACTTGTAAAACGGGAATAGTTTATAGTAACTAATGGAATAGTTACCAGTAACTAGGGCTGTGTGATATTGCAAAAATTCATATCCTGATATAGGTAATTTCATATCCTAACAAAGATTTTATATATATATATATATATATATATATATATATATATATATATATATATATATATATATATATATATATATATATATATATATATATATATATATATATATATATATATATATATATATATATATATATATATATATACATATACATATATACATATATACATACACACACACACACACTTTTCAACTCAGGATATTTCTCTGCATTATAAAGCCCTGGATATACTCGCTTTTTAAAAACAGGCGTCACCGACGCAGATGGCTTTGTTTACATACTTACCTGCGTACTTTGCGTGTACATGGAGGATTAAACCTGAATCCACCTGGGGGCGGATCAGGACAAGATCATCCCTCGCCGACACCGGATGATCTTCCTTGACAACCTCCGAATTTGCACATCGTAAACAAACCAAACACAGCGACACTTGACGAGGTTATGATTTTAATGAGACATAACGATCTCGGTACTTGCGGACCAGCTCCAGGAGTTTTATTGTAAATATCCCGCCTTAAATCTCCTTTTTTAAAGTCTGCTGCTGACCTTCTTCTTTTGCATTTAATGTTGGAAAACCAACTGCGTACCTCCACCACCTGGGCTGGTGTGTGGAACAGGATTGTGCTGCTGACCTGCCGGTCAGATCAACATACTGCCCCCACGTTCATAAACTGAACTGCATCTCATGGACGCGTAGCGTTAATTTCTGGAGACGCGCAAAACCTACCCTCCAAAGGAACGCAGGATACGCGTGACAGCCATCTGATCTTACAGCCATTTATGCATCGTATGCGGATGCGTAGTTAAAAGCAAGTATATCCAAGGCTTAAGGTTGAGGTGAGTAGAAGAGAGAAATCCAACACCATGACAAATATCATAACATAGTAGTCGAGTAAACAACGACACAGCAAGTAATGTAACTAATGTTAGCTAGGTTATGCGTTAGCAAAGTAAACATGACAGGATGAAACCATGAGCTCCAGGATGAGAACCGTCCAGCGCACCACATTCAACTTTTTGACCCTTATGAGTACACCATCCGAGGACTCTTAGTGCACTGCATCTTGCCACACTTATGCACTCAAAACAGAAAGTGAGTACAGAAGGGCACAAACTGAGATACAGCACCTGTATGGTTACACCAAAAAAGACTTTCAGACTCACCTGAACTCCTGCTCTCAGTTCGCTCCAGTGCTGACAGCAGATTCCCTTTCTGGAAGGTCAGAAAAATTTTTTTTATATCCTCAACAAAACAGATCAGGTCAGTTGTCACGCTGTATGAAGGGGTGTTAACCGGGCTTACCGTCTTTGATGCCTGCCGTTGGATGCAGAGCTCAGTGTGTCGGCTGTATTCTCTCAGAGGAAAGGCTTTCAGACAGATGTAACATTTCTCCTGGTTCCTGTGGAAAATAAAACAGAAGGTGAATTAAAAATCCAAACACTGAGCTGTTCCTGTTAAAGATGACAGGTCGTATCTACTTACTTGCCAGTGTTTGAGTGGTCGTTACTCTCCTCATCCGTCACTTCTGCTCTGCTTCTTGCTCTCTTCCTACGTGGCTTCATTGACACTGTAACGTGGAGAGGGAGGTGTCATTTTAAAATCATCAGCACAACAACAACAGTGACATCTGAACAGCTGGAGGTTTCACACAAAGACGATAATTGACCCTTCGGTAAGCCACGCCAACCTTAGTTACTGGACCTGTCAAGACTTTAATCACGGCGCTGCCACAGTCTACAAACTTGTTTTATTAAATTAGCTTTTTACTTTAGTTTTTGGGATTACAACTTGATTTATCTTCACTCGAGCTTCTCGGCAGCTTCTGTGCACATCCGGTTCCACTGTTGTTGTTAGCGTCGGTTGGCTCCCTGTTGGACTACGACTTCATATTTATATAAAAACCAGACAAAACTGGACATTACTTAGAGAAAAGAAAGCGAGGAGGTTGAACTACCTGGTGAGTTCAGAAAATGTGTCTGTAACTTTATTCCAGCTGTCGTTGTACTTTACTGTGAATAAGTTAGCATAGCCCTGATCAAACCAAACTCCATTCAGAAAACAAACATTTTAGAAGTTGTTGTCCTGCTGACAGACCTGACAAAGCATGAATTCATGTTTAACAAATCTGCATCATGTTGTAGTTATTTCAGCAGTAGTTTGATCCGTTTATTGCTATTTAATCACCGCAGAATGTTTACTTTGGGTTCATACAGCTGTAGTAATGACGAGCTGTGTGTGAACACTTTTTGGCAGTTGTCCAGCAATAAAACCCCTGGCGAGGAGAGCGTTGCGATGATTAAATTCGCATTTGCTCTGAATGCCGCATTATAGTGAATAAAAGAAAGTAATTGACTGCAAGGACAAACACTGAAAACCGTCGGTGTAGCTTTTCCTAGACAGAGGGCAGACACGATAGACTATCTAGCTATTACATTTACTCTGCCTAAATAATGTCTTAATGTCTGGGAACGGTGGAAATGTATCTGTATTTTCGTAACCATTTCTGAACCAATTGTCTTCGTAAGTCTTTTTCAAATAGGGGTCCTTGTTCTTTGTACGTGGAAAGACCACAAAGTAGCTCAACTAATTTGAAAACATAGAAATTAGAATTTGAATAAAAGAAAATGTCTACACATTAAAGGCTTCTGTAAAAGCTGTACCTGCTGCAATTATGTAACAGCACAGAAGTCTGAACAGGTATCTAAAAGTAATGGATTAATAATTTGATGATAGTAGTTATATAATTTTATGAGTGAGTGACACATTTGGTACATGATATGTGGGAATTGATGAAGGGGTATGTCCAGTTCAGTTGGTAGGACGGTGGACATACAGTGCATAAAGTGCAAGTGCAATTTATACTTCTGCGTCAAATCGATGTGTAGCCTCTGCGTTGCCCCGTTGCCTACGCCATCGCCTGACGTGCACCTCCTGAAAAACGTAACTACACGTTGAGGCGACACGGACCGTAACTGTGACTGGTCGGCTGGGTAGCCCCCAATGCCTCCGAGCCGTCAGGAAGTGCGCCTGCTTTGAAGTAACGGCTAGCGGCCAAAATGGCGGCTGTAACACAGTGAATCAATATATTTGACCGTCACAACCTAAGCGAAATGTCTCGTTTCACTATCAGAATGTGATCCATTGGGTCACAATTTTACCCCCATTCACGTTAGTGGAGCGCTAAACCGGAAGTTAGTCTGCTCGGCCGGAAAATGTCAAAACAGTGGACGCTATAGCGCTACCGCTGACTAGCGTTTGGGGGTGTAATTGCAGAATGACGGAGACGCCGATGCACAAGTATAAATGCATGGCTACCTGGGTAGCCTACGGCGTAGCTACACACGTAGACACTACGCAGGAGTGTAAATCAAGCATTGGACCAAAAAAAGGTTGGGAACCACTTTTCTAATGTTTCACAGGTGTTGTACAAATAAAAAACGGTTTCTGTCACCTTGGAAGCAGTCGGTCTCGGGCCTCCTCTCGTCCACGAGGGCCACTTCTCCGTCGCAGTACGCAGCGTGCATCTCAATCTCTGTCGCGGGGAAGGATCCCTGACAGATGGGACAGTCCACATTGGTTTCCGGGCTCCGAGGGACGGCAGCTCGTTCCAGTTCAGGAGAAGTCGACCTCTGAAGCCCTCGATCCTTTATCTCCCCCACATCTGGATTCCCAGCATCCTCTTCTACTTCCTTTTTTCTCACATTTTGTCCTCCAACATCGCTGCTGCTGTTCGTTTCCTTTGTTTTTCTGTCCACTGGTGCTGAAAACAGTCACACGCACTCACTTTTTAAATTGTTTCCTGATGGACACGCTCCTTCATTAAAAAAGGTTCAGTGTGTAATATTTATACTCCTGCTCGCTTGGAAAGGGAGGGGTAGTAGCGTTCAAGTTGATTCCACATTCCGACTTAAGAGCACATGAACACACCAAAGTTGGAAGAACAATTTCGCAACTCGGAAAATGGGATCATCCGAGGAGCTCATGAATGCACCGTGAGCCAGTGGTTCCAATTCACAACCCTCACCACTAGATGCCTCTAAAACTTACACACTGAACCTTTAACTTGAGGGTTTAAAGAAATCAATTTCTAGTATTAGCTTTCAACTCACCACCCAATTAAGTTGGTGAAATTTATGTCAGTACAGACACAAAACTACAAAAGTTTCCTGTTCTATTTGTAAAGCATGCAGCCTCACCGTCCACCTCCATTTCCTCCTCCCGCTCGCTCACGGCTGGTAAATCATCTCGGAGAATCATTTCAATCTCAGACTCCGGGCTTTTAGGTCGGAGCTGTGGAGAATTTCAAGCACAGAGCGGAGCAATTTTTCAGCAATTGTGTAGGGTATGATCAGCAAAATGTAATTAAAGAATCAAAAGTACTATTACTGTCAGTATAAAGTACACACCAAGAGTCCGGACACCATAAAGTACACACCGAGTCCGGACACCATAAAGTACACACTAAGTTCAGACACCGTAAAGTACACACTAAGTTCAGACACCGTAAAGTACTGTAAAGTACACACCGAGAGTCCGGACACCGTAAAGTACACACAGAGAGTCCGGACACCGTAAAGTACACACAGAGAGTCCGGACACCATAAAGTACAAACTAAGTTCAGACACCATAAAGTACACACCAAGTTCAGACACCATAAAGTACACACCGAGTCCGGACACCATAAAGTACACACCGAGTCCGGACACCGTAAAGTACACACCGAGTCCGGACACCGTAAAGTACACACCGAGTCCGGACACCGTAAAGTACACACTAAGTTCAGACACCATAAAGTACACACTAAGTTCAGACACCATAAAGTACACACTAAGTTCAGACACCATAAAGTACACACTAAGTTCAGACACCATAAAGTACACACTAAGTTCAGACACCATAAAGTACACACTAAGTCCGGACACCATAAAGTACACACCGAGTCCGGACACCATAAAGTACACACTAAGTTCAGACACCATAAAGTACACACTAAGTTCAGACACCATAAAGTACACACTAAGTTCAGACACCATTAAGTTCAGACACCATAAAGTACACACTAAGTTCAGACACCATAAAGTACACACCAAGTTCAGACACCATAAAGTACACACCAAGTTCAGACACCATAAAGTACACACTAAGTTCAGACACCATAAAGTACACACTAAGTTCAGACACCGTAAAGTACACACTAAGTTCAGACACTGTAAAGTACACACCGAGAGTCCGGACACCGTCAAGTACACACCGAGTCCGGACACCGTCAAGTACACACCATGTATAAAACTATAAAGTACACAATAAGTTATGTTGTTCTTAATATCCTCTGATATTCACCCATTTGTCATACAAACATCAAATGCAGTAATTTCATTGTATTTACACTCACCTCTGCTCCATCGTCTGTGGCCATCATCAGGTCTTGCGTCCTGTCATCGTCGTCGTCGACACCACTCAGTTGAGTCTCTGATGTTACAAATCAGAGAGACATGCCGACAGCAGTTTATATCACATCTAAATTTCATGAAAAGGGCCTGTTGTGCATGAAATAGTAATCACAGAGGAGGCCAGCTTCTAGACTCGAGACTTTATTACAACCATCATCTGCTGAGCTGCTTCTGGTCACTTAGAAAATACATAACTCTCTTTGCTTTCTAGCGTTTTAAGCTAAACAACCTGTTTATTCCACACACCTTAATGACAGCCCAAAGAAATGGTGGAGCTTCAGTACCTGGACAAACCTCACAGTCAGTGTCCTCCTGTCCTTCTTCCCCATTCTTCTGCTTCTCCTTTTCTTCTTCATTCTTCCTTTCTTCTTCTTCTTCCTCCTCCTCATCTACCTCAGCTGGAGAGGTATCAGCTGCTTCACACAGTTTTTTACCTCTCAGTCTGAGGCCACGCCTGAAAAGTTAAAAAAATAAAATATAATATAAATTCGTCACCAGTTCAGCTTAAGTTAAACATAATATACAAAATCTTATTTAAAGACACCCTGTGTACAGATCTCAGGACAACATAAGCTACTCTGATCACAACAGTGCGCTGAAACTACAATGTAAATTAGAAAGAAACTACTGCCGGTGAAGACCTCTGAGTCGCCACCTACTATTCTGATTTGTTTGCTGTAGATAAGCGAATGATGACGTCAAACAAAATCCCAATTCAGTCCGAGTGACAGGCGAGAAAACTCTCAAAAACTTTGTTCAATATTCACTTTGAGCAGTGGGGGAAAAAGTTGAATAATAAACTGCTACTGATATCTGAGAATTAACGTATGTTATTAACTAGTGACATCTAGTGGCAAGAAGACATTACTATCCTGTTTACTCTCTGTAGTTCACTAAAACTGCAAAATTACATTAACATGCTAAATAAAATCACTACATTTAGATGTAACTTACACATTTACCTCATATTATACTGTAGATCCCATAATATATTATACTATGTTGCTATACTGTTATATTACACTGTATGCTATATTGTACAAGTACCATTATTTAATCACATGATATATTATTATAGTGTTTGCTGTTATAGTAGATGGTATCATGGTACTCTACATGTACTTTCCTACTACTCACACAACTGTGTCACTTCACTAGAGGCAGTACTGCAGTATTAGTTTAAGTACAACACTTTATTTAGTTATACTAGTAGTTCTACTGCTTTTTTATTTTGAGTTAAATCGCTTGTGGAGGATCAATAAAGGCATCTTATCGTTTAGCCCCCAGAATCAGTCACAGCAGATGAAATGAAAATGAAATTATTGTGGACAGTAAAGCTTTAATGACAGCCGAGAGACAAAAACATTTATCCAACTATTGAATATTTATCTTTCAACCCTTTAAAACAGCCCCCAAAATTTTATTTTAGTTGTTTGTGTTATTTTTATCTTTTATTTAAATTGCATATTTAATATTTTATTTGTTCTTCCTGTTTTTATTACTTTTGAAATATAAAGCAGTTTGAGCTGAATGTTTTTTCTGAAAGGTCCCATTTACAAAAAAAAATATGGTTTTCTTCTGTAATTTTATTCAAAAAGAGTGAAACTTATATATTGTATATTCATTACACACATAAAAGGGAAATGTTCCAAGTCTCTTTTTTCCCCTGTAATAATCCTCATTGCGGCTTACAGCTCAAGGAAATAAATCTCCAGTTTCTCAAAACTATTAGAATTTTTAGAATAATTAATTTATAATACAGAAACGTCGACCTGAGAAGAGCTTTAATCAGCTAATCAACTCAAAACATCTGCAAACGTTACCTGAGCCGTCTGGTTCTGGTGCTCACAATGGACTTTTCCACAATATTCTAATTTTTCGTCATCATTATTATGTGTGTAATTGGAAAATCAAATATATTAAAACAATTACTGCAACAGATCAGGTTTTCAATTTGATGGCATCCAACTCACAGTTGCTGTAAAACTCTTATCATAGGATTTTTGACTCCTCATACTCATACGGTGCTTCTGCTTGAGGTGGTGAAATTAGTTTGTTTTATTGCCACCTTCAGTTGTTTGTGTGCTTCTTACATTGTTACCTCGCTTTGTTGTAAATCTGCTCTTTTGTAATAAAACCACTTCCACAACCCTGAAGTCGTCCCCCCCTTTTTGGAACTAAGTCCTCCATCATGGAGCTTTCAGCCATGCTTGTCATTGCTGTGTGTAACGGTATATAATAAGACTTTTAATATATATAAAAAAACACACACAAATACATTGTGAATATGATATGGTACCCCTAGTACGTACTGTATTATTATTATTATTATTATTATTATATCATTCATTGGTTTATAGCAAATAATATTAACATGGTGTTTGTAAACTTAATTATCTCAGAATTGCACAGCAGATTTTTCTAAATTTGTCTTTAATGCTTGGAGCACAAACGTTCTGCTTTGAGACCAAAGAGCCACCTCACTGACTTGGCTGCACACTAGACAATAATTGGTTCGATTCTGTAGTGAGAGGGGTTTACAGACATAATCTGAAGGTCACAGACTTCATCAGAGGCTCCCCGATTTTGAATCATACGGTTCGAAATCAGGGAGCCGCCGAACAGAAACCTGCAACAGCCAATGAGAGCGAGCTGAAGTGTCACCAGCGTGCTGCGTATCTGCTCGCACTATAAAATGTATATAAACCTGCTGATTCCCTCTTCTCAGCCTCGAGTTCATCCACAGTTTGATTCTCATCTTTTTATTTTTCTGGGCAAAACACAGCACACACAAGAGCAACCAGCTGCTGACGACGACAGTCTGCCTCCATGTTTGTTTCTGTTTGATCACACGGGATTCTGTGAGATCCCGAGTCCTCGGAATCGCCACTCTAAAATCATTTGGTATAAACGCTAGGGTTGGTTATTGTTTACAATTTTAAGATACCAGTACCACAACCAGTACCCTTAAAATGAACTTTATTCAATACCTTGTGTGAAACGCCACCTGTTGAAGCCATAGTAGTTGATTGGTAGCCTATTATTATTTTTTAATGTTGTTATGGACAAGCAAGGTTGTCAATTCTCTTTCTTTTTCAAATAGCTGTTACATGAGAGTTTTGGGAAATTGTATCAGATCGCTCCGCATCCTAATTAGGTCATCCTCAGAGGAAGGACGACAGCTTGGGACTCTTTTATATTTGAATGAGTGAGGAGGAGTGAAATAGTTTAGTGCCCAAATAAGTTGGGGGAAACAAATTTAAGTTACATTTTTCCATACGTTTTGTTGATAGTAAACAACGGATAATTATTTTGTTAAAGTTCCAGCAATAAACTGAATTGAAAGATCTCCGCGAGCGCTTTTTCCTTTATTGATGAGTTGAAAACCTCCGAAAACGACAGTCAGAAGTATAAAACGAGTAAAGAGTGTTTAAACAAGTCACTAAACTAAAGACTCACAAACAGAGGAAAGGAGAGGCTGCACGTCCAGCTGAGCAAACCAACAACATCTGATAACAGCTGCAGCCGGAGGCTCCGTGAGTAAAATCAGCAGACATGAAAGCGTTTAATTGATGTGATGGAACGCAGCGATCGATCAGCGACAAGTGATGTGAACAGCAAATAAAAATCTTATTATAAAAAGTATTGATTGAAGGACTGGTTTTACTGGAGATCCACTTGATACTGGGCAGTCAAACCTTAAAAAGGTATCAAGTAGTGATACCCATCCCTAATAAACGCTGAGTGTGTTGTCCTGCATCTTGACTGAATCGTCTGGTTTGTGAATTCTTAACATTAAAATATTAATAAATGGTTACTTCTGTTTTTATATCTGTGGTGTCCGACGTTTTGAGAATCGGGTAAGATTTGAAAATCCTCTAGTGTGCACCGGGGATTATTTTACATTTCTGTGCTAACAGCAACAAATGTTTCCACTGTAGAAGCAGAGCTGGTGAAGTTCTTGTGTGTTTTACCTTCGAGGAACGTGCTGTTGAGGTGATTCAGCAGGCGACTCGGCAGAGGGAGGAGATTTCTAGGGGAAAAATGGATAATGCTCGTTGAATGATTCAAACATCCGGTGCAAAAGCTTTATGCCCACTGGTGTCTTCAGCTCACAGCAGGGAGGAACAACGTACATGTCAATATCAACATCATGGTGATTTTATCAATCTTAAAGTCAGATGGAGGAGGTGCACAAATATTTGAGTGCAGTCCGTTTGTGAAGATGTGTAGGATTTATGAATTCATCAGCTGGCCCAACTAAGTACATTTTCTTTAGTGCAATTACTCGAGTATTTCTATTTTCTGCTACTTTATACTTCTTCTCCACTACACTTCCTCTCTAAACTTCTCATGTGGTTTCGTTTAAATTAGTGCTTGAGGCACAAAAACATAAAATTATCCAAAATAAAAGAGAAAAGTCCAAAAAAACTGAAAACAGATTTTTGTATCAGGACTTTGTTTTTTGTTCTTTCCTCTCCCACAAATCATCTCACAACTTCTGAGATTAATATTTTGCATAAACATATAAGCTGTTAACATTAAATCAGTTGTTTCCAACCTTTTACAATTTGTGTTAAAACCCTAATGTATCATTCACAGGGGGAAACAAGTACTTTTCTTTGACACTTTAAGCACATTTTGCTGATAATACTTGAATGAAGGACTCAGAACTCAGGCCCATTAACTTCTGTATCTGTACACTAAACATTAGCTTATCCGAACCAAGATTATTATAGTTTTGCATTTCTTTTCAGTAGTTTTTGTTTTGTTTTCAATTTCAGTTAAGTTTTTTTATTGGTTTTTAAAGCAGGTTTGCTAGTTTATTCGTTCTTTTCTTGAACATGCTCAGTTTTTATAACTTTCAGTGTTAGTTTTTGTCTTTTTTGCAATATGAGACTCCACTTTCTGCTGATTTTTGCTGCCATAATGCCAGGCGAGGGGCGTGGAATGAATTCTGGCACAGCTAAGAAAGTGGATAGATTTCATATCCACCCAAAATACTAGGTTTATGCAGCTAAAACTAAAGTAAATCTATAATTTTAGTTTATTTTATTTAGCTATCCGAACCAGAATGTCATCTATCATATGAACATTAATGCACTTCGCATAGAGGCGTCATTTAAAAAGTACGAGACTGAAGCATCCTATGCGTCCGACCTTTATTTACCTCGCAATTCTTCTCTATCAAGATCCAGCACATAAGTTCAACAAACTCCATGTTATAATCGTCATCGTACCTCCGGCTCCGGCAGGACGGCCTCCCCCCACTCCGCCTTCCTCAGCAGACACCTCTGAGCCTGCTTCAGACTCTTCTCATACACCTCCATTTGAGCCAGGATCACCTGTAAGACGGACGGACAGACAGGTTAAAGTGAGAAATTAGATAACTTGCTCTTTTATTGTTTGAGTTATCAATATGCTTGAAAATTATCATTCACCCTAGTATCAAAAATCATATCGTCAAAACAAACAAACAAAATAAATAATATATATATATATATATATATATAATAAAAATATCAGTCAAAATAATTAGTTGTTTTTTAAAAATTGTTAAGTCCTAATTTTCAGTTTACAATTATATAACTGCTCTGCAAAATAACCGAGCGATCACATAGTGAAGTCTGCAGGTGACACAGGCAGGAGGTGGATGAACTCATGGTCTGGTGCAGAGTCAACAATCTCTGCATCAATGTGGGGAAGACTAAGGAGGAGGTGCCATGCCTCAGCAGGTGTCAGAGGCATCAGGTATCATGAAGGACTCCACCCACCCAACTGTTTACCACCCTCCCCTCTGGCAGAAGGTTGCGCAGCCTAAGAGCAAGAACACCACGGCTAAAGTGCAGCTTCTTTCCAGAGGCTGGGAAGCTTATGAACTCCCTGGCTTAGAGCTCCACTTGCCCTTTGCTCTCACATTGCTGCTCCTGCACAAGACACTTCAATGATGCCATATGGTTTAAACTATGATTGGGTTTATTATGGTTAAGACCATCTAAATGTTTTTATATAGGGCCTTTCTTAATTTGTTATTTATTCTGTATGCTGATGGACCAGGGAAACGAATTTCATTCATTCATGTTTTACATGGTTGAATGACAATAAAGAACTGAACTGAAGAAAAGCAGTAAATCCTCACATCTGAGAACCTTTTTTACCTGAAAATGACTCAACCATCAAATCTATTCGATCAACTAATCCATTATTGAGTGGAATGAGGGTGCAGAACAAGTTTTCATTATTTATAATGAGATGAAACACATCTTCACCTGTGTGTAGGTGTCTGGGTCCAGGCCTCGTGGACAGAAGGGAACCCCCCAGTAGTAGTGCACCGTCGGCCCGCTGACCGTTTCCGGACTGCCGGCTGGCCGTGACTCTGGCTCTGTGGTGGAAAGCTGCTGTCGGCTGGTGGACGTGGAATAGCAAGAAGGTCTGAGCGAAGGTGTGTGGAAACATACAGAGAGTGAGCAAAGCAGCAGGACTCTTTAGACAGCTGTGAGGCTTCACTACAGAGTGTAGAACATGGGTTAATATGAGAAACAGAAACTCTGATCTGCTGGTATTCTTGGCGTTTTCTCTACCTGCAGTTGGAACCGTTCATCGCTGGAGAGGCTGCAGCCACGTGGTTCAGGGAGGCCCGATGAACAGGTCTCTCCTCTGGGAAGACCGGGCTGGGCGAGCCCACCGGCTGCAACAGAGGGAGGAAGAAAGGTTAGACATAAACGCAGATTTTCCTTAAAAAGAGTATTTTTATTTCAGACGTGATTTAACACAAAAAGAAGCACCAATGTAGGAAAGTACTGGAAAAGGTGGAAGCAAAGATTTATTTAGACGGTTACTGCTAAAGTGTGTTTAGTCTGTAAATAAAAAGAGACCTAGATGGACAAAATATCAAATCACAATATTTTTAACATATCGGCATTACGCACAAACGTTTACTCAAACAGGAGGAAATAGAAAGCAACCTTTGTAAGAGTCAACAAATCCCATGTAAAAACCTTGCAATAGCTTCTGTCTGCTCTACTGAAGAAAAAAAAAAATCATTTCACAAATACAATATTTTTTCATATTAAAAAAGGTTTGGTAATTTCCTAAAAACAAGGGCGTAGTAGTGAATTTGTTAAGGACCCTTTTCACCAGTGGATTAACACATTTGGGAGGTGTGTCCAAATGAAAATAAACTACAGTGCGAGTGTTCGCATTGATGAAAGAACACGTCACTCAGTGCCACAATGAGCTCGATGGCGCAGAGGAAGACGAGATGTCAGCCTTTTTCTTTTCATGGGATTCACTGGCAATAAGAAAAATGTAGAATATCATCGGCATAATTCCTTATAATTAACATATTCTGGTCTTCCAACAGTGAGCCTCTGTACCGTGACGTCCTCGTCCTCGTCAGACCAGAGTAGCGTCATGTCGCTTGTCAGCTCCGGCGTGGCTGAGCTCCGGTCTTTGGAGGTTTCATTCAGCTCCTCTGCGCCATCTAAAACCAGAAAACACCCAGAGACCAACCGGCTCTGATCACACTAGCAATGTAAGGCTCATCACCTGACAGCACATGACCTCGTGAAGATGAATTAGGAAAAGACACCTCACTGTACCCGACTCGTTTAACCTGACGTCTTGATTGCGATCAGACTTGCTGTCCTGTATTCACAAGCAGGAAGAACAGGGAAATTAGAAAGTGCCTGGATGTGATGAGTGAAACACAGCGAGAAAAAACACATTCAAAGTTTTAATGATCGATGATTAAAAAGCAGACGTGAATCTTTTCAGAATTTGAAAATGAACATAAAGTAAAATAATTTTTAAAAGGCATAAAAAAGGTTTTAATTTAATTAATAATAAAATTTTGACTTTCATTCTTAGGGGTTGAATAAAATATTATATATTAAATATGTAGCAGAACAGCTTGCTGCTTCCTTCCCGCACTTTCACAGCCTCGTACTAAAGTACTAAATACACGATCAGAGATCCACCTGTTGTATCAACCAGTATTCGCTCATTGGAGTTATGTAGGTTTCGCCAAAAATCCATGTCCCTCCAGGATTTCACGACGTCTTTGTCGCAACTATTAACACAAATTCAACAAATCCCTGTGAATTCAGCGTGACTTTGTCAATTTTGTCCAGAAACGCATGGAGGACCCCAGACGAGTCAAATCACTGTGACAAAGGCTGCTGCATCCCGGTCAATTACAAGCGCTTAAAGAATCAAGGTAAGCTGGTTTAAATACGCAGGGTTAGGGGTAATGTAAATATACTTTATAGGGCTGGACCTGAATAATCGATTGTTGGGTACACATTCCGGCTCTGAACCTGCTCCGCTCAGACTCTCAGCTAAAGTTACCCCTCTGCTCTGTACAGCAGCCACCAACCCGGTTCTGCACGAATCTAGTCTTCCACCCTGCCTAGCTCTTCCCCGGTTCATTATCCGATCCTTTGAATGAGAATATGAGCGCAGAACACAGACTTATGGACTCGTGACCGCCGTAATCTCCCCCCCATCCGATTCTCCCTCTCTCATGTCATTGCCAGAACTTCACTGGCATTCATCCTTCTTATGCTGCTCTGCTTCTATCTTTAGCTCGTGAGATGACAGCCTGCTTATCATTAGATGTCTAAAGAATCAGGAAAATGTGACAGCTGAGCGAATCACAAAAAAAAGGCCTGCGAAACCCCGGAAGGACTTAAAGATGCCGTTTGATTAATTCAATGAAAAACTGCAGAACAGAGGGACATTTTTTATTTATTTTTTTTAGGCTTATACTGTATAAAACAAGTTTTTTAAAATAGGTTTTAGGTCATTTAGAAACAGCGTCTCTACCACATAGTAAAATGTCCTACTCAGGAAGTGTCTTTGTCACAATCTACACATCATCCATTTAATTTACTTTGTGTTTAAATAAAACACATCACTTTTTCTAACCTCTCAAAATCCAGTACTGACACCTGAACTCACCTGCCTCGGACTCTCTTCACTGCCTGAACCTCGGAGCTCTGCAGCTGAAGGACTCGCAGAGTGAGTGTTTTGTCTATGTCCAGTCCTGCCGAACACTGGGCTCGTGCGTCGGCTGTGCTCGGTCTGCCCTCGGTCGCTCTCTGAGAGTACCGGACTTTGGCGGACTGCTGGTCTTTCTGGGGGAGGGAGGTTCTCTGGAAGGCCGTGGCTTCTTGGGAATACTGGGCTCTTGGGCCGACAGGATGTTGAGGAGGTTAAACTCTCCTGAGACGAAAACATGAACCCTGAGTTACAGACCTGGGGTCTGCAGGCACTCTGAGACTTCTCACGCTGAGTATTCCTGCCAAACACCGGACTTTGAAAATACTCAGGACTCTGCTCTGGCTCTCCATCGTCTCCCTGATCAGTCTCTGAGAAGACAGGACTCTTGGATAAAGTGAGGTCGGTGGAGCTTTTGGGAAACGTTGGACTCTTGGGTTGAGCAGGCGGAGACCTTCGAGGCGGGGTCCGTCTTTCCTGAGAGCACAACACAAACCCTGAAGTTCTGCAGGTTTGCAGAAGGTCCTGGCTCAGCCGGGGGACGTGAACCTCGGCTCTGCAGCCAGTCGAGGGGAAGACGGGGGATTTAGGGGGCTGACAGTCGTCGATCTGGGTCGAGTCAGAACTCTGATTTATTGTTGAGAGAAGACAAACACTTACATTATTGTTCATGTCTCCAACAACTCCTGAGGGAGATCTCTGGCTCTACAGCTGGTCTCTAGCTCTGTCTGTTCACTAAAGAAACAACGCTATAAGAGGATGAGACTGAACCAGAATGGGAAAGTTGAGTGCTGACAGATAAACAAAAAGCTGAAACTGTAAAGCCAAGTTGGGAGCTGCAGATTCAGCTGATAAATCACTACCAGAGACTCTGACAACTGTGACATTGTTATGAAAATACTGACTACGTTCAGGCTGCAGGCCAATGTGACCCAAATCTGATTTTTCTTGCCCATATGTGACTCAGATCTGATCTGTTTATGTCACATGGAATCTGATCTTTTCCCGTTCGGATCCAATCCAATACAGATCGGATCTTTTTAAATGCTCAAGTAGCATCCACGTAACTCAGAAGAGAGCATGCGGTCCAGTGGATCTGTGAGCAGATGATAGCGAGGTAGAGGAGGAAGAGCACTTTGAGATTTCCCTGAAATGTAAAGTGCATTATAAATAAAATTTATTATTATTATTATTATTAAGAGAGCCACGTGTTTAATTATGGCTTTATGTGGAGCTTTTTTATTCACCGCGTCTACAGCAGAACTGCGACAACAGCTGTTCTAGAGTGACGTCAAAGTCGCATCAATTCCGACCAGCGTGTTACAAAATACATTTCAATGTTTAATGCTGTAAATAAACATGTAAAAAGAAAAAAAACTTTCAATAAATGTTTTTAAAGTGCGTGAATCAATCTACAAGTGTAACCTTAACCCTGGGTCGTCAGTGCGCACGTGTAGGCGTAGCGTGTGTGCGTGTGGTGGCAGAAGAGGAACACTTGCTGAAGAGACGGAGACACTGCTGTTGTGCCAAGTTGTCCGCACCTCGCGGGACTTTCAGAAAATTTATCAATGCGGTTGATGAACCACACAAAGAATATTATCCATCCATCCATCCATCCATCCATCCATCGTCAACCGCTTATCCTGCATATAGGGTCGCGGGGGGGCTGGAGCCAATCCCAGCTGACATCGGGCGACAAAGAATATTATTTCGTTTTTAAACTGCCAGCTACTTGAAACGGACCTGCGAGGAACCGCGACGGAAACTGTAAAACTCTGCATAAGACCGGTGAATGAGGGGGAGGGAGAAAGAGAGGGAGGGAGGGAGGGAGAGAGAGAGAGGGATTGAGAGAGAGAGAGAGAGAGAGGGATTGAGAGAGAGAGAGAGAGAGGGATTGAGAGAGAGAGGGAGAGAGAGAGGGAGAGAGAGAGATAGAGAGAGAGAGAGGGAGAGGGAGAGAGAGAGGGAGGGAGATAGAGAGAGAGAGAGGGATTGAGAGAGAGAGAGAGAGGGAGATAGAGAGAGAGAGGGAGATAGAGAGAGAGAGAGGGAGGGAGAGAGAGAGAGGGAGGGAGGGAGATAGAGAGAGAGAGAGGGATTGAGAGAGAGAGAGGGAGGGAGAGAGAGCGAGAGAGAGAGAGAGACTGAGAGAGAGAGAGAGGGAGAGTGAGTGAGAGAGGGACAGAGAGAGAGATAGAGAGAGACTGAGAGAGAGAGAGGGAGAGTGAGAAAGTGAGGAGAGAGAGTGAGAGAGGCAGTGAGAGAAAGAGAGAGGGAGAGAGAGGGGGGGGAGAGAGCGAGAGGTAATGATTTGTTGTCGACCTGTAAAATGTTAAGGAAAAGTAAAGCCACCACAAACCTGTGGTGAGTCCAGAGCCACTGAGAGAGACTCTGAGCTGCAGGGTGAAGCCTGAGAAAAGACTTCCTGCGTCTGTGACAAATCCGGCATCTCCAGCAGAGGACTTCCTTCTTTCCTTTTACGCTTTTTATTCCCGTTAGTATTTTCATCTCCACTTCCTTTTGCTCCTAAGAATACAATACAGCATGTTTTCAAACTCAGCAGTTTGATTTTATACCTGCAGGTGGTCTGATTAAACACCAAAATGATATACTTTCATTTTGATGCGTCTTCCTGGTGTGGTACTTCAGCAGAATCTGATTTTACTTTTTATTTTGAAGTGCTGGTGGAGAAGGAAACGAAGCATTGTAGGATATTTAAAAACAAAACTGACTCCGCGGTCTTCAGGGTCTCACCTCGGTCCAGGTCTGTCTCAGTTCTGCAGCTGTCCTCTGACGCTCCCGGATCGATGGCAGGCGGCATCTTCCTGTTTGAGCACAAGAGTTTCCGTCGAGAGCCGAGCCTGAGTGAAGTTTCAGCGACAGAGAGCAGGCTCTGACTTTGGGAAGGTGGGCACAGTTGTGTCTGGCTGACCATCTACGAGAGAAAAACCATAAAGGGCTATTGTTTTAACTAATTCACTAGACACTGTATGAACTCAACCAGACTGACCCAAAAAAATCGCATCCCCATTTTTCTCCGATTCATAACTCCCTCATTCATTACTCTGTTTTCTTCAGTATAAAATTAGGGCTGAAACTAACAATTGTTTTCTCAATTAACCGATTAGTCGTTAGGTCCAGGAAATTATGAAAAATGTCCATTAGTGTTTCCCAAAGCTCAAGATTACGTCCTCAACCCAAATATAATCAGTTTGCTGTCATAGAGGAGTAAGGAAAGCAGAAAATATTCACATTTGAGAAGCTGAAATCAAAGAATTTTGGATTTATTTTCTAGGGATGCACCGAAATTAAAATTCTTGGCCGAAGTCGAATATAATGAAAAACTTTCCCGAATACCGAACAAGGTTTTTCACCTTTTATTCCGCTATATATTTTTTTTTAAACAACTGCATAAATTAAATAGTCAAAATGTGCCTTTTTCCTCAGTGTTTCCCACAGGGTTTGGAGAGACTATGGTGGGGGGGTCCGGGGCCCGAGAGGGTCCGTTAAAGTAAATTACATGTGTCCATTTATTTTTAATGGACACATGTAATATGTTTTATACTTCCTGTGAATATAATCCAATTAACATTATTTCCATCCTGTATAGACACCTTATTTTGAAAACCGGACTTTGTCACATGTGTTTCCTCCTCGCGCTAAATTCATCCAGTCCGACCCAGTTTGATAAATAATGTTGTATGTGGTTCAGCTTAGTTGTTCTTGTTATTAGCTGTATGTTTATTTCATTCTGCAAGTTTCTCTGAAGTCAGACTCCTTGTGTGTGTTCACATAATCAAACAAATAAAAGGTGATTCAGACTAGCATAACATATCTTGAAAATACATATGGCCTGTTTAGCTGTAGGGCTGCAGCTAACGATGATTTTAGTACTCGCTAATCTTCAACAGATTATTTTATCGATTCATCTGTCCGCCACAGAACGGCCCCGAGACCAAAAACAACCACAAACCGCAGCCTCTCAAATGATCACCGACAAGTCTCCACTGACAAACCGACTCACACTCTGTTGGATGGCTTTCATCACGGCCTCTTCCTCTTTCTGCAGCTTGAGCGCGGTGATACTGGCTTCCTGTTCACTCAGACGCAGGGCCAAGTCCATCATCTCCTCCTCTGTCATCTCTGAACACAGACAGAGTTAATTAATCCAAAGTCAGTCAATTTTAATCATTACCAGCACTAGTATAAATATAAATCATCAAAGCGACTTATAATTGCTATATATTTCAGAGGTGGCACGTCTCTGGAGCAACTAGGGGTTAAGCGTCTTGCTCAGGTACACATTGGTGTGTCACAGTGGACCCGGGTCTCTCACACCAAAGGCATGTGTCTTATCCACTGTACCACCACCACCCCAATGTAAGGTTCATGGTTGCTATAATTTCTGCAAACCACTAGATGTCAGTCTGTCTTCGAAACTTCGAATACTTCAAAATGTCACACGTCATCACAATCAGGAAAAAGCCTCAAAACCTTCACATGGCTTTGTCTGCCTGTCACTACAACAGCAGTTACAACAAAGTTAATGTGGTCATGTGTCTCTGCAGGGTTCTTGCACCATTTTAACAGTCAAATTCAGTGTTTTTAAACACTAAAACCTCTACAAATATAATTTAAGATCCCAAATTTCTTGAAACAATTTCTTTAATAGAAAAGAGATGCGTCTTTAACTGTACAAATGATACTAACATGACTCTTTGACCTACTCTGTTGCTCTCTGTTTGACTGTCTCTGCTATGAGCCTTTTCCCCCCCTGCATTTTATAGACAATGTAATTATATTTTAAAAATATTTTCTGAACTGATCGTGTCTGTTTGTGAACGTGAACTCGTGCTATGCTGTGTTCAACTTAATAACAGAAAGGAATACACATTATAAAGCAAAGGTAGCAAGGAATCGATGCCAGGCGGGACTTCACTTTCCGGCCAAGCTGTTGCACCGCTACAGAGAGAGGTAAACATGGATAATACATGAAGGAAAAGAAATTACGGTGAAGAGAGACACTTTAGAAAGTTATTATAGGCTGTAGTTGTTAGATCATTTTTTTATCCCATTAAACCCGCGTCTTCCCATCCTGCAACCACAACCGCAGATGTTGAAATATGACGCAGCCAGACATCAACATCTGCAGCTAGTGTAACCTGAAACTTATATTAATTGGTGGAGTCCCGCGTTTTACCACTGACAATTTTCAAGCAAGCCTTAAACGACACCTACAGCAAATTTAGGGTAAATTTCAGACACCTTAAAGACTTTTTAAGGAGCCGTGGGAACGCTGCTCTACACACAGACTCACGATTACAACAAAACATCCTACAGCAGATGAATGTCTAGCGATGGTGTGACACAAATTACTTTATGTCTCCATCTTACAGAACGTTTAACCTGCACAAAATCAACGTTTTGTAAATACTGTGATGCCCTACACGTCATGTTACGTACCTTTGGGTTTGGATTTGTTTTCCCTCTCTCTCCGGCGTTTTTCTCTCGATGATGACGGTGACAGAAGTGATGCTGACGGCTCGTCCTGGAAGAACAAACACAAACTCTCAAGTTTTAATGCTCTCATTTCCCCAAGTTTCCCAGATCTGAGTTCACTGAGGAGTGTCTTTTTTTTTTTTTTTTACTATCCAGCCACAGGTGAATCATCAAAACTGCTTTGTTAAAAATATGTTTAACGTCAGTAGGCTCCTACATGAACTCTGCAGAGGTACATTTCAAGATTATTTCAACAACCAATTTGAATGAACAGTGGTTGGTGTGCGGCCGTCATTAAATATAAATATTTACAACTTGAGCAGGGAAGTTGTGTAACTGCATCTCAATCCGTGTGCATAATCTGATTTGGAAATGTGTAAAATAATCTCTAAATGGGTACTGGGTACGTACATAATTATTAATGGCTGAAAAGTCCGAGAGATACAGTTACCACTCAGACGGGCATCTCAATTGGCTGACTTTTGCGACACTTCTGCCGTGGCAGAGATCTGCAAATGCGTGGAGTTTTTGTCTGTGTGTTGCAGTTGTGCTGATGCAAGGCAGACACGACTCCCACGGTGCACTACTACATGAAACATTCAATAAGCAAGAGCAGGAAAGCCGGGATCCGCTAGTGGCTCTGGCAGCTAGTGGCAATGCGGGGCAGCCTGACGCAGGCGCACGTGTTCTGCAGCTGAGCGACGCCTCCCTCGACCCGCTGTCAACTAGTGAGGGGCCAAATTTCTTAGGAAAACTCGCAGGAGAGAAAGAAGGATGCATTGTGGGAGGATCTCGGCTTGGCTGCGCTTGCCCACAGTTATCGTTTCACGTGACCTTTAAACTCACGTAAATTTGCCGGTTGCTACCGCGGACTGCTTGTGCAGTTACTAGGGCACACGGACAAATCTCCACACTCTGCCACGGCAGAAAGGTAGTAAAAGTCAGCCGATTGAGAGGCCTGTCTAAGTTGTAACTGATGAATTTTCAGCATTTGAAGCAAAATATTTTCATATTTTCATTCATAGTTTATAGATTTGCAAATTTCAGTTCCGATTTGGATCCGATGAATCTTGATCAAATCTGCACACTCACGCCAAATAAGCTAATTGATTTCCTCAAATTAACTTTTTAATTTTTGTTATTTATCTTCACTCGCGCTTCTAAGCAGCCAGATGCTGAAAATATGTATCTGTTACGTGATTCCAGCTATCGCTGTACTGTACTATGAAAGAAGTTAACGTAGCCCAGATATATCCAAACTCCATTCAGAAAACAAGCATTTTAAAAGTCGTAAGCTTGTCATCTTGCTGACAGACCTAACAAAGCGTGACTTCAATTTTTTAACAAACCGGCATCATGACGTACTCATATCGGCATCAGTTTGATCCGTTTATTGCAACTAAATTAGATCAAAATGTTTTATTTGGGTTCATATAGCTGTGGTATTGGCAAGTTGTGTTTATTATCACATTGTGTGTGAACACTCGCGTGAATAGTCCAGTGGTCAAAGTCACGCGTTTTAAAATTCACATTGTGTGTGAATAACTTTTGGGTTTAGACATATAAACCTCTCTGAAACTGAACCTGTATCTCAGCTGTTTCACAGGTACTTTACATTATTGATTCTGTCGTCGAGAGCGTCGTCCTCCTGTGTGTTTTCGTCGGTCTCTTGGCTTCCAGAGGGAGTGTTGCTGGCCTCCTTGATAATTTGCTTCCTCAGAGGCATCCTGCTCTGCTCCTGAGAAACTCTGACCAACCGAGACACACACCAAAAAATAGATCCAAGTGTTACATTTCAAAACCAAATAATCCAGCGTCTCACATCGCTGCAGGGTTTCTAGTAGGGCTGAGCGATATTGGGAAAGAATCGAATTGTGATTTTTCTGCCAGATATTGCGATTATCGATTTTTTTTTAATTGAAGCTTTGCTAAAGTGAAATATTCACTGCCAGTCTATTTTTGATGGAAGCCACGTCAAGCAGCACAGAGCAGATGAACCGAGCAGGAAGTCAGACACAGAAGGGCATAGAGAATATAGAGGTTGATTTTCAAAATAAAACACCTTTTTGCAGACTCACGATTGTACATCAACAATAAACACGGTTAAAACAGACAAAAAAGAAAGAAACAGTTTAACTACGTAGCCTACTTAACAGTAGAAGCACAACAATCAAGGACAACTGAACAAATAAGCACAATCGGAAAATCGCAATTTTAATTTGAAAACGATTAATCGTTCAGCCCTAGTTTCTATCTTGCCAACATTAAGGTGACATGTAGCTTCCTACTTTTAGGAAATGCTGGCTTTGTGTTGTATCAGCCAGTTCTTATCTCTCCTTTAAAGATCTGTTGTACCACGTGTGCAGCAGGTTTGGTTTACTCTCAGGCTGTGGTCAAACTGTCATTTGTTTGTTTGCATAGGAGGGTTCCTAGCTAGCTGAGTGAAACAACCCGGATGTACTAAAGTGGCAGCCATGATAAGAGCTGGTCAACTTCTCTAAAAGCCAAGGAAATCTGCATCCTTTCTTACCTCCGTTAGTGTGGGGCACACTGAACCATCCTTTACAAAAGAAAAGGAAGTAATGCTACAGCACAATTTGAAGCAACACAGCATTGTGGTTTCACTGTGGTTTTACTGGGGATGGGCAATAAAACAATAATGTTCATTTTCCTCAATAATAATATAACAAATGTTCAATAGATCATCAATAAATATTTGATTTAAATCATTAGAATCAAACGAATTAGAGCTTAATTTTTCTATTAAGATGTTTATTTTGTTGAGAAAAAGGGACTGAAAAAAGATTTACTAATTATATTTTTTGAAAAAAATAATTTTATCATAATTGTTTTGAATGTTCAACCACAGATATGTGAAGTGATCCACTGTTTGGCTTCCAAGTGTTTGTGTGGTTAAACTATAATTTATGCTCAGCACACGACAATTAACCATCTGGCCCTTCAATTTTCATTCAGGGGCAAAAATCTGCCTTTAAACTCAAAAGAAATAATGATTTGACATGTATCGTGATATTTAACGATATCGACTTAAATTAAATGTTTTTATCGTGATACCATTTTTGGCCTTATCTCCCAGCCCTACAGCAGATCCACGTAAATGTAGAAACAACATAGCGTCTGTTTTAAATGCTTGTGACACAATCCAAAAAGTATAGAAAGCTGAGCTCCGAAGCCATAAATATAGATTTTTTTCTTTCGTTAATCAAAAAAACATGAATCATTAGTAAGGGTTTGGCCGCACAAGCTGGAAGACCTACTTGGAGGGCACTGCAGTGGACGAGGTGAGAGATAACCATGGCCTGTACCAGAAGCTGGGTGAGGTAGGGCCGGATTTTTCTGATGTTGTAGAGAGCAGAGACGGAGGACGGTCTGAACAGGACAACTAGTCATCAATCATGACACCCAAGTTTCTCACCACCCTGGTTGGAGTGATGGTTGAGGAGCTAATTTGTAGTTTGATGTTATGGTGGATAGATTATTAGACTGGAATGACCAAGAGTTCAGTCTTAGGAGAGGTTTAGTTGAAGGTGGCGAGCCTTCACCTGCATATGACCTTCACATCTTTCCTTGACCTCGTTTTTCATAGAGGTCAAGGAAAAGTGGTTAGGAAAGGAAATGTGTGTTGTCACTTTTCGCAGCCTCAGCAGTAGTTTTACCTGATGATGAAGAGCGTCCTCTTCTTCCTCTCATCTATCCGGAGGGTCGTTGTGACAGAATGGCACGAGCGTGGAGCCCAAACAAACTGACCTTGTGTTAAAGTTGAAAAGAAAAGATAAAAATGAGCTGCGTAAGAACACTTGAAATGATTTAATTCATATTTTAATCGGTCCAGCTCACAGTTAAAAGGGTCGCTCAAAGCAAATATCTTCTGTTAACTTGCAGCTATCTTTCACAGCGCGAGAACAACATCGGTTCATATGGAAGCAAACTGGTCACTAAAAACTGCAAATAAAGTTCATATATTCGATTTTGTGTTTAGTTAGCCGTTTAGTTAAAGAGCACGTCGGCCGTTTGTGTCTTTCTTTGCGAAACAGTTACATAAAAACAACAATAAACCGACAATGTTCAGTTTGGAAAACAACTCACAGTAGCTTTCCTCACTTTCGCGGCGCCATGTTTGTTTCTGTTCACGCCATCACGTGACTCCCACGTAAGGCGCGTCTTTCGTGCTGCCTTCACGAACTGTCGGTTAATGTCGCATTGTTATTGTTGTCTGTGAAGGTTCTCAATCATCCAGGTGATATAATTAGCCAAGAGAAGATCAAGGGCAGCCGGACCTGGTTGAAGATTCCTCTCATCCGAGAAGCTTCTTAAGGCTGAACGTCTTCGAGTATCTTTAACCAAGTCCAGCCGCCCTTGATTGTAATTTGGATGCTTTGTTGTTGCCTTTACGTAACGTTACTGTGAATAATCTAGCAATGGATGGATAAAAGATTTTATAATAGTGGGAACAGCCCTACAGAATACCAAATGTGGGCCAAGGGTGTTACTCTATAGATGTGAAAAATACTACCATATAAAATTAAAAATTCTCCCCGTCGGGGAATCGAACCCCGGTCTTCCGCGTGACAGGCGGAGATACTGTCCACTATACTAACGAGGAAGGTTACAGGTTTACTTTAATTTAACCTCAAATCTTTAAAACTCACAGGCAACAGAAATGTGAAGTGTTTTTCAGTTCACTAAAACAAAGACAATATTTAGTGTGGACAACTCCTGCAAATTTTTTTAACATCTTGTTTTTCATGCAGGGATGTTTTCATATGTAGGCCTACTTATGATACAGGATACTTGGTCAAATAAAAAATAAAAAGTCATACCAAAATACAGATAACAGTAAAAACGTTAGTTATATAATATAATATTTAAGATTAACGTACCCTACCTAAGTAGTTTCTCTGTAAATTATTTTCTCTTACTGCAATGTATGTAATGTAATGTGATAATAATTTATAAAGTCTAAATTCATAACCAAAGACTCATTTATAATAAACCAAGTAGTTTTGGTACTTAAACCTAACCAAACTGCATATATACCACATATTAAAAAGGCATTTCATACGGATCCTGGAGGGTACCAATAATTCTTCAAATACAGATGCTTTGTCAGGCTTTCTCAAAGAGTCGCTATTGTGTGTTGTGTAGTCTAGGCCAGTGGGTCTCAAACTTTGCCACATCATAAACTGACCATGAAGATTTTGTCCCAGGGTCCCTAGTGTGATAACATTGTTTGATTTGTTTGATGTTTTATTACAGAGAGTATATGAAACTGTCACGATATTCGGATGAAGTGCAAACAGGAGACAGCCCAAACGCTAGACACTAGGGCAGAGATACTGGTCAGGGATTTAATCCATTTAATCAAAAAACAGGGTAAAACAGAGAGACAGGCAGGTAGGCAGATACTGAGGGGGAACAGACCTAACACAAGTTACTAAACACTAAGACATAAACTAACGCACAGGACTAGGAACTAAGATAAGAGACAAGACAGATAATAAGTAACTTAAAGATGCGGATGAATAAAATAATAGACAAGGCAACATAGAGACTAAAGCAGAATCAAAATCAGATTAATTAATGATGAAACTATAAGAACATAAATTGACACCTAGCAAACAGACAGAACCCAAGCATGTTGGTAGAGAAACTAATACATGAGACAGGAACTGAACAAGAACTAAAGGCAGATACCGAGATAACAGGACAGATCAGACCAGAACCACCACACAGCACAAGCAGAAGACAGAACAACATAGACAAACTCAACAAACGGACTAAGATAGCTCAGCAAGACAGATTAACACAGAATGATAATAACCAAACAAATATCAAATCAGGCAGAGCTCACAATAGACACTAACAGACTGGACACAGGAAAACAGACAGGACTGAACCCCAAAACACAACAGACTAAATAACAGATACCGAACTGATCAAATAACTCAGAGAGCTAAACTTAACATAGCCGACAGGCAGAATGCGACAGAAACATATTACCAAAATAGTCATACATTCTGTCATTGTGTCACTTATATACGGAATGAAAGTAAAAATATGATTCCCATTCCTGCCAGGCCCCCCAGGAACCTCCTCACCCCACTTTGAGAAGCACTAATCTAGGTGACTCACCACATTTAGGACAGGGCGCTTAAATGTGCATACATTTCCAACACGTCTTCATATAGAAGTGACAGAATAGGTTGATAGTTAATGTCTATAAAACTATATGAGTATGTTTTAATGACTCCCAAAACAACATATATGAATGTTTAATCTAAAATGACATATATGAATGTTTTCTCTAAAACAACATATATGAGCATTTTCTGTTGCCCATTGCAACACAAGGAGGTTAACCGGTCTACATGCATAGAATCAAGGTTAGGCACACACACACCCCTGTGATGGTTAGGGTTAGGGTAAGGGGCTTAAACAGTAACATAATTTAACATTTAAACTTAGATAAAACTGAAGTTATTGTTCTGGGGCCTAAGCACCTCCGTGACGCATTATCTAAAGATATAGTTTCCCATGATGGCATCGCCCTGGCCTCCAGCACCACTGTGAGGAATCTTGGAGTTATCTTTGATCAGGACATGTCGTTTAAGTCTCACATTAAGCAAATTTCAAGGAACGCCTTTTTTCACCTCCGTAATATTGCGAAAATCAGGAATATCCTGTCTAAAAATGATGCAGAAAAACTGGATCCATGCATTTGTTACTTCTAGGCTGGATTACTTATTATCAGGCTGCCGAAAAAGACCCTGGAATGCTGAGTTCACTTAACAATTGCCTTTGTGAAGTTAAAAAATGGATGTCAAATAATTTCCTCCAGCTGAACTCAGACAAAACAGAAATCCTGGTCATCGGGTCTCAGCAGATGGCAAAAAAAAAAAATACTGCCATCTGCTGGTTCACATTAAGCCTGTGGCAAAGAACCTTGGTGTTTGGTTTGATAGTAATTTAAATTTCGAGCAGCACACCACAAAGCTTGTTCAATCATGTTTTTATCAACTTAGAAATATAGCAAACATTCGATCTATGTTAACTTTTAAGGACACCGAGACCATTTTACACGCCTTCATCTCATCACGCCTGGATTATTGCAACAGCCTTTTCACCTGTTTAACCCCAAAATCTACTGATCGACTCCAGACTGTCCAGAACTCAGCTGCCAGGCTTTTAACCAGAACAAAGAAATATGACCACATTACTCCTATTTTAGCTTCATTACACTGGCTCCCAGTATGTTTTAGAATTGACTTTAAAATTCTATTGATTACTTTTAAAGCTCTTCATGGCCTCTCGCCTTGTTATATTTCTGACCTTTTAGTCCCATACGCACCAGCACGTACCTTGAGATCCTCGGGCAGAGGTCTGTTGTCTGTTCCAGAGTCTCGACTGAAAACTAAAGGGGACAGAGCGTTTGCTGTCAGGGCCCCGAGGCTCTGGAACAGCCTGCCCGAGGAAATCAGGTCGGCTGAGTCAGTGAACTCTTTTAAGTCCCTTCTTAAAACACACTTTTATAGGAGAGCCTTTCCCGATCTTATTTGACTTTATTTTATCCCTTTTATTTTATTGTATTTTACTAATTTTATATTTATCTTAAACGTGTATTTTAGTCTTTTCAATGTTTTCATGCTCTTATCTTGTTTTTTTGTATTATTCTTTACACTTGTTAAAGCACTTTGTAACTTGTTTTTGAAAAGTGCTCTACAAATAAGGATTATTTTTATTATTATTATTATTATTTATGCTGCTATAGGCCTAGACTGCTGGGGGACTTCCCATGATGCACTGAGCTCCTCTCTCCTCTAATTGCATGTTACTAACACAACTTCTCCCCTTTCTGTTAGTCTTGTGCTTTCTCGTCTCTCTCCTCTCTCCTATCACTTCCTGCAGGTGTTTCTGGCTCTGGAGCTGTAGAGTCTGGATCTGTGGCTGCGGGTCACCTGCTGCCCCCGTGTTCCTGCTCGACACCCTTATTGTTAACAATTATTGTTAATATAGTGCTATTGTTATTATTGTTATTATATTCATTAACATTACTAGTGCTGCTCTTGGTGGGAACTGTTGGGTTTCTGTAAGTAACATCACAGAATACGGTCTAGACCTGCTCTTTTACGAAAAGCGCTCTGAGATAACTGTTGTTGTGATTTGGAGCAGTTATAAATAAAACTGAATTGAATTGAATAATATAGCTAGCGACAATGGTAACGGTAGCTAATGCTACAAAAAATGCTAAAATAACACAAAACCACACCAACAGTAGGCCTATTATTGCTAACACTAGCTAGATAACACTAATAATATTATAAAAAAATGTGGTGATTCATATCCTACACCTGGTGTTTTTTCACTTACACTGTATCACAGAGTCCACTCATAACGTAAAATTTGGTTGTTTTAAGCTCTGTCGTTTTCTGGGAGGACAAACTGTTAATTTCAGCAGCTGTACTTACTGCATACTGTACTTTAAAAAAAATAAGAAATGTTGATTTTGTGAAACAGTCATAACATTAAAATGAATCTGGTGTCATGAAAAGGATCCAATTAAAATCAGGAAATTATTAGGCCTACAGCAAACTGACTAAATACTTTGTCTGGTGGGAGAAACTGAAGCTATTGACTATCACCTTCATGTGCCTGTATACCGCAGAACAAAGAACCGCCATTAAATGATGAACTACAATCTGGTGTTTAATAACTATTCAACTGTTTTCAAACCAGTTCATATTAAATCTATTTAAATACAGTAATTTAGTGGAGACGGTAAGTAACTGCTAGCCTATATTCCAGAGGATTCATCTGACAGGAGTAACGGCCGGAGTCCCCGACAGCAACCGTGTGTTTACCTCCACAGGAAACGTCTCTGATTAAAGCTAAATTAATCACATTACTGCAGTTATTTCAGTTTTATTTTATCCCTACACGTCTCCGCTTACTGGAAAACCACTGTTATATTTAATAGGAATTCTTTTTAGTCATTTTTAGAGACGAAATGTGAAGAAAACTCGCCGCGAGTTGTACAAAGTGATGGTGTGTTGGAGAGGTTTGAAGCATCCTGGGATTAAATGAACGAGTCCTGGTCGCCAAACACGAACTCAGTCTGAAGCGAAGAACTTTTTCTCACTCATAAAATTACATTTATGGTCTAAAACGTTCGTCTTATGTGTATTTTATCGCCAAAATGCGGAAGAGAAAACACAAGTGTCGCCACATTTGAGGCGGGCGGCGGAGCGGCTGCGTGTGTTGCCTCTCCACGGTTCTCATGTGCTTTATAAGTCCCGCCTCCTCTCAGCTCGGACACCTTCAGACAAACACAGCAGACAGAGACGCAGAGATGGCGGAAGAAGCTCCAGCAGCGGCCCCGGTCAAAGCCCCGGCTAAAGCCCCGGCTAAAGCCCCGAAGAAGAAGGCGGCTCCCCGTCCCAAGAAGGAGGGCCCGACCCTCCCGAAGCTCATCATCAGCGCCGTGGCTGAGTCCAAGGAGCGCAAGGGGATCTCGCTGGCGGCCATTAAGAAGGTTCTGGCGGCAAAAGGCGTCGATGTGACCAAAGCCAACAAACGCATCAACACCGCCGTGACTAAGCTGGTGACCGGAGGAACCCTGGGACAAACTAAAGGGACCGGGGCCTCCGGCTCCTTCAAGCTCGCCAAGAAGGAGCCCAAAGCCGCCAAACCTGTCAAGAAAGCGGCGCCGAAGAAGAAAGCTCCCGTTAAAGCCAAGAAGCCCGCAGCCGCCGCCAAGAAAGTTACAGCGGCCAAGAAACCGGCAGCTAAGAAGCCAGCGGCCAAGAAACCGGCAGCGGCAGCAGCGGCCAAGAAGTCCCCGAAGAAGAAGGCACCGGCGAAGAAAGCCGTGAAAAAGCCGCTAGCGAAGAAGAGTCCCAAGAAGACCCCCGTTAAAAAGCTCAAGGCGGCCAAGAAGCCCGCTGCCAAGAAAGCTCCGGTAAAGAAAACTGCAGCCAAGAAGACCAAGAAGTGAAGCGGCTCTTTAATCCAGCACTCAGTGCACCAAAGGTTCTTTTAAGAACCACCACAGCTTCACTAAAGAGGCTTCCTCATTTATTAGTACAACTTCAACACCTTGTTACACAACAAACCCCTCTAATCATAACATCTTTTAATGCAGTGTTGTACTCTATGTTTAATAATATTAGAACTTATATGTTCTATATCAGTGGTTCCCAAACTTTTTTCCTTGGCGCCCCCCTATTTTTATCTAAGAAAAGCTGAGCCCCCCAACTGCTGACAAAACAGGCACACAGAAAAATATGAAATTACTATTAGCGAACAAATGGAGTCAAATGACACCTTCATGGCTGCTCTGTGTAAATCAATGTCAGCTCTTGGTTGGCCTTCAACAGAAAAGGGGTTTATAAGGTGTAATATTTACAAAATATTGGCCTACAGTTTGCACTAAGTGTTTTCAACATATACTCTACTCGGGTCGGACAGGTATAGTTGCACCTGCCAAAGTGTATTTGGCACAACACTTTAGCATTTTGCAGAGAAACGGTGAAGGAGAGATCAACTGGTATTATGTGTTTTAGATCTCTACCAGAATGTTCAAACTTCCAGGCTTCTGGTAGCAGACTTAAGCTTGAGTAACAACAGTCAGGGCCCGGACACAACAACAAGAACTTTGATTTTCTCATGTATGGCTAGATATTATTCTAGTGTTTGTTACGGCCGATGTTATGTTTTTGTAATCTTTTCCCCAAACTTTACTTTATTTGGTAAAAAAAAACATTTATAGTAATTTAGTTTTTTCTTTGCCCTTCAACCACTTTTGAGGATTCCTTTTAAGCAGTCCATTATGTAGGTATTTTTTTAAATATACTTTTATCAAAGCGACTTACAATTGCTATACATGTCAGAGGTCACACACCTCTGGAGCAACTAGGGGTTAAATGTCTTGCTCAGGGACACAATGGTGGATGTCTCACAGTGGGAACCCTATGCGCCACCACCACCTGAAATATAAAATAAGGGTAATCTTTTAAGCAATTTAATTTGTGGATAGAATATTTGGATATTAATCAATAAATTAATTGATTGATTTTTAATTAAGTAAGTTATGTCTGCTGAGAAGTTGATTAAAAAGTAAAGAGTAATACATGAGACTTTGTTAGTATATCTCTGTCAAAATCAACCCAAAAAGTAGAATGAAAACAATCTACAAACGGTCCATGTGTGAAGTATAATTCATCTGCAGTTGTTAACATTGTATGATGAAAAATGCCAGTTTAGCTGGTATAATTTCATTATCTTACTTGTGCTAATGCAATTGTATGTTGACCCATGTGAGTTCATTTTTCCAGAGCCGATACTGCCTAAACTATGTTAGAACTATGTGTTGTCGTCACGTTGAATGTAGATGTGCAATGTAATTTAGCGCACAAAAGCGTCAGCTTGTTCCATTATTAAACTGAAAATTGACCAAGAAAGTCTATAATCAGAAACAGAGACCGCTCGCCTTCAAAGTAAAACGCCATCGTTTTTTAAAGGAATTAATTTAAGGAAAGCTAAACTTGTAAACAAATGGCTTATCCCACCGGTAGAAGAAGCTAGTGAGGGTAATCACCCATCCACCTGAAAGAGCTGGTGATGCTCTTAGTCATAAAGGCAGGACAGCGGAGCTGCTGTCATCTGGGATCCCGAGACATGGCGGGGCTGCAGAGAGGGCCGCCAGATTACTGACTCTTGGCCGATGTCAGAGCCAACAGCAAAGCGTCCTTGGCCGAGAGGAACTTCAGGTCCGCCGTCTCCAGAGGCTCGAAAGAGGCTTTGGTCATGCGTGGCTGATGCAGTGATAATGTGCAAGACAGCTGCCGGGCACAGCCGCAAATAGGTTAACACTACACACAGGGTTGTGTGTGTGTTGTCCACACGAAGCGTGATGTCTACTTCTACAGAGTCAGAATGAGGAATAATAACGTTGGTTACGTTTCGTAACCCCAGATTCTATGAGTATAGGCGTGGCCCTCTAAGAGCTCTCGCTACTGGGTTCATCTCTCATGGCGCTTTCAGACCAAAAGCGAAGCGAGCGTTTGGGGCGGTGTGTTTAAATACAAAGTCAATGCAAAGGCGCGTAGAGCCATAATTTCCTGTCGGGCGGCGCGAAACAACGTGAAGGAAGGAAAAGTCGCACGACACCTATCAGTGTTGACATTGTCCGTACGTCACCGATGGCTTCAGAGCAGGGGATTGAAAATCTGCTGGCCGGCTGAGAGCTGCTAAACGTGGGGGAGAGGAGCACGGAGCAGTGCTGCAACCTTTGGACAAATAAACTGTAGTGGGTCAGATTCTGCTCTGACAACTACGCCGTTTACTCGCGGGAGGAGCCCGGAGTTAGCTGCTTTTATTAAATTAGCTTTTTACTTTAGTTTTTGGGATTATAACGTTGATTTATCTTCACTGGAGCTTCTCAGCATCTAGCTTCTGTGCACATCCGGTTCCAGTATTGTTGTTAGCGTCGTTAGCTCTGTCGGACTACGACTTCATATTTATATAAAAACCGGACAAAACTGGACATTACTTGGAGAAAACAAAGCGAGGAGGTTGAACTACCTGGTGAGTTTATTCCAGCTATCGTTGTACTTTACTGTGACCAAGTTAGCATAGCATAGCCCTGATCGATCCAAACTCCATTCAGAAAACAAACATTTTAGAAGTCGTTGTCCTGTTGTCCTGCTGACAGACCTGACAAAGCATGAATTCATATGTTTAACAAATCTGCATCATGTCGTTATGTCGGCATCAGTTTAATCCGTTTATTGCTATTTAATCACAGCAAAATGTTTACTTTGGGTTCATACAGCTAACGTTATCGTGTTAAAATCGCCTTCTCGCGTTGTGTGTGAACACTTGCAGTAAATGTAATCGCTCACCCCAAAAAGCATTTTTCTTCAGCTGATGCTGGTGGGACCAGTCGTGCCCGCAGCTTAGAGGGCGAGGCAAGGCAAGTTTATTTATTTACCACATTTCAACAACAAGGCAATTCAAAGTGCTTTACATCAAACATAAAAGCAACACAGGGAAATTGAAAAAGAAACACATTAAAATATAATTTTAAAAGGGTGAAATAGAAAATAAAAACAGGATAATAAAATAAAACAGGGTAAAACGGGACAGTTTCAGTGCAGTGTACAATCAGGGTCACGAAGGCATCAACCTGCCGTCGCTTCTCCTCCACGGGCAGCTGTACTGCACAGTAGGGAAACAAGGCCTGAGGTGTCAGAGCTACGCCAGCGTGCTCACAGCAAGGGGAGGCAGGTCTCGCAGCGGGCGTAGAGATCAAACCCCGTGATGTAGCCGGCATGGTAGGACAGGCAGAAGCGGACTCCTTCTTGGCGGCAGACCTCAACGGTAGAGCGGTGAGTAGCCATAGGAAAATTGCTTTTTAGACGCTACTCTGCTCTCCGAAATCACTGCTATGCAGCGCTGAAGAAAAAAGGGGAGCAGATCTCTGGTCTTGCCGGTATCATATACCCGATATGCGGACCTGAGAGAGGCCCGTGCACGGCACATGGGCGCGAAAGAAATCATCAGGACTGCGTTATGCGCGTGGGGACAAACCCAGTAGCGACAGCTCTTAGAGGGCGAAGCCTATACGAAAAAGAAATGTTGTCATTTTGGCGCTAAATCGAAATTGAATTGTTTTATTTTAGTTTATTACAACTTTATTAACCTTCACTTAACTACTCTGTGTCATTTCATCGTCAGCAGTACCTTTGTAACGTACACTATTGTTGCCATTATATGTCTTGTCCTGGGTATTGATCAAATTCAGAAAATGATTGTTTTTATATCATTAATTGAAACTGTTGTTGTTTAACTCAGCGGGTCACTCGCTCTCAACTGTGCAGTCAGTGTTTGAACCTTTTTGTACATCAGTCTGTATTGCCTATACCTCGACTACATTAACCAAAACACCTGGATTGGCCCAGATCTCTTATTCAGTGTTACTTTATACTTTAAGGGTTAGGGTTGGGTATTACTATGCATTGTGTAATGAAGGCAGTTTTGTGTTAAAACAATGACAATCCAATAATACAATACAGGTAATAGGGAATATGATAGCATACTGCGCTAAGGTTCCACTTCAGAAAGTACAAAATTGAAATTAGTGAGCCATTAAAAAGCAACCGATGGCAAATCATAAGCACAGTGTTTACTTTTTTATTGTGAATTCATATATTGTTTTAAGAAAAATGATCAATCTTATAAATGTAACATGATATCAATGTATTATGGACATCGGTCTCAGTTTGTAACATTTACAATCAACCTACATTTAAATTTGATCTGTTTACCCTTCAGTCAGTGGCGTTTTCTCACAGATTCAATTTTGTGTAAAATTATACCCTGCACTGTAATAGCACAATACATTAGATAATTGCCCTCCAAAAAGGACATCCCCTCTCACTTGGCTTCCCCAAAAATTTACCCCACCCCACGCCACTTCCTTCATTTCAAGTCAGACAAGTTCTACATTGCTTTTACCACTAATAATAATAATTGTTTATTAATGACAGTAGATTAAACATGACCCATAGAAATTAAACTGCATCAGTTCATCTGTACAATAAAGCTACTATAGTACTAAGAATTTTGTTCTTATTTTTTTTTCTTATTAAATACATAAAAACAACTGAAATAATAGGCTGCGAAAGATGTGGGAGGAGTTAACTCCGCCCAGCGGAACTCGCGCCTTCTGTCCTCTTTTACGTCCGCAGACAAGATGTAAAAAGCGCGTGTCGACCCTCAAATTCATCAGTTTGTTCAACGAGTAAAGCTGAAAGATGAGCGGAAGAGGCAAAGGAGGAAAGGGACTCGGTAAAGGAGGCGCTAAGCGTCACCGTAAAGTGCTCCGTGATAACATCCAGGGAATCACCAAACCCGCCATCCGCCGTCTGGCTCGCCGCGGCGGAGTGAAGCGGATCTCCGGTCTGATCTACGAGGAGACCCGCGGGGTGCTCAAGGTCTTCCTGGAGAACGTCATCCGCGACGCCGTCACCTACACCGAGCACGCCAAGAGGAAGACCGTCACCGCCATGGACGTGGTGTACGCTCTGAAGAGGCAGGGCCGCACCCTGTACGGCTTCGGAGGCTAGACCCGGTCCAGACCCGCTGAAACACAAAGGCCCTTTTAAGGGCCACACACCTCATCTAAAGAGTCTGTCCTGACTCATGAGCTCAAAATATTTGTATGTTTCACATCTGGTAATGAATCAACTTGCCGCAATTAAATAAACGTATAAAGCTCCTATATTTTATGGATTTGACTGAGACTACTTGTAAAGTGACTTACATTAAAGGAACAAAGTATGAAAGCAGCAAAAGATCCCAGGTGACAATAGGTTTCCATTAGTGAGAGCTGTTGGCATGAATGAGGTAAATACCTTCCAAAAGAAGTGAGTTAATGAAATGATATCAAGACAAGAGAAACGTAAGGAGACGGAGCACAGGAAGGGCAAGAGTTGAGGGGTGTTATGAGAGAAAGTGTTCTTGGAAGAAACAAAAGCTTCCCCCCTGCTGTGATGGCGGCTTGAGGCGGAGAAAAACAAAGGGACAACCAGCAGCAATCAATAAACAGCTGACATAGGAAGACAATTGAGAACTCAACCAAGGAATAACGCTTTTTGGTGGATTATATGTTGGGACTTTTATGGACTACTGCATCACCATGAACATTTGATCTGATGGGACATTTGTGTTTTGGGGGTTAAATGTTATTTGGTGCTGACGTTGATTTGGATAGACATTTGACTAAAATGAATACTGACTATAAAGTACTCACTACAAATGAACAGACTGAATGATATTTTTGACAAATGTATAGAAAAGGGAAGAACCTGTGTAATCAAGGGTTGTCTCATGTGGGACAATCTGTGTACTGCTTATTCTTAGAATATGATTGACTGGCCTATAGGTCATAAGATGGTGCAATATCATTGTGTTTGAATTTGATATCTCTAAGTCTTCCCTCTTTATTTGGTTAACTTGTGTAATGGGTCTTTTCTGTATGTTAAATAGAGAAACACTCACAACACTCTTTAAGATTGAAAATGAGATCAACATGTTTTATTTACTTGTATCTTGTCAAATATTTGACATGAAATAAACACAACAGCCTACATGGTATACAGTACTTAAGATTATTCTTTAGTTCTATTCTATTATTTGAAGTCCACTGAGATTTAAGTCTCTTTTTTTTTGAGGGAGAAGTTACTAAGAAAGAACACCATTACAAGGTTACACAAACTATAAAACTGAGCATGTCAAAAACACAACAGATACATGATACAAAAATCCAGTTCAGAGGCGAGAACAAAGAATAAAAGTATTCATTATGTAAAATGGTCCATTTTATTATGATGTAGATGAAGCTAATATGAATGATTTTATATTCTGCTGGGTAGCTTGTGAATATGTCTCTGGTGTCAATAAAGACTAATAGTAGAATGAATTCATCAAGAACAGAAACATATAATCATATAGCCTAAGGTTCATGTTACCAGAGTCCTGACTGCTCAGTTTCAGCATGAAGTTACTGATCAATTGATGCCAACTTTCCTTCAGTAACAGCACAACAACACATTTAATGATACAGATGTTTACCAGCTGCTATAGTATAAAAAAAAAATATGAATTATGATGATATAAACTTTGAGTGGTGCGTAATGGAGAAGTTTTCTTTAATCATAAAATATAAATTACAGCAGGAAGTGTGTCTTCAGTTTGAGATGTGTGGCTCTTAAAAGAGCCGTTGTGTCGTTTGTGGTTGTTGTTGTTTACTTCTTGGCGGGCTTCTCGGTCTTCTTGGGCAGCAGGACCGCCTGGATGTTGGGCAGCACGCCGCCCTGAGCGATGGTGACTCCGCCCAGCAGCTTGTTGAGCTCCTCGTCGTTGCGGACGGCCAGCTGCAGGTGACGGGGGATGATCCTGGTCTTCTTGTTGTCGCGGGCGGCGTTTCCGGCCAGCTCCAGGATCTCAGCGGTCAGGTACTCCAGCACCGCCGCCAGGTACACGGGGGCTCCGGCACCGACGCGCTCCGCGTAGTTTCCTTTCCGCAGCAGCCTGTGGACACGGCCGACGGGGAACTGCAGCCCGGCGCGGGAGGAGCGAGTCTTTGCCTTTGCTCTGGCTTTGCCTCCGGTTTTACCTCTTCCAGACATCGTGTGATCTTTCTAGAGTAAAGACTCAAAGAAAATGTGGCCCCGGCAGCCAAAACCCTCCTTTATATGTCCGCGCAGCGCGCGGGACGGTTTCTTCCAGACCAACCAGGAAAGAGGCTTCCTGCAGAGCAGCAGAGGGCGGCCCGCTCTGCGTTTAGGCGGAAAGTTTGAAGGGATTTTCCGCCAATAAGCGGCGGAGATTCAGGCGGTGGGTCGCTCCTCTAGGCGGTGCTGAGCTCCAGCAGGGGCCCCTCACCAATCAGGAGCCGGAGGTCTGAAGCAGCGTCACCGCTTCGCAGCCGGTCCCGCAGTTTAAGAGCAGCGCGGCTCCTCTCTTCACTACACTTTTCTCCTGTTGAGAGAAACGAGACGCGATGGCCAGAACCAAGCAGACCGCCCGTAAATCCACCGGAGGAAAAGCTCCCAGGAAGCAGCTGGCCACCAAGGCTGCCCGTAAGAGCGCCCCGGCCACCGGCGGAGTGAAGAAGCCCCACCGCTACAGGCCCGGTACCGTGGCTCTCCGAGAGATCCGCCGCTACCAGAAGTCCACCGAGCTGCTGATCCGCAAGCTGCCCTTCCAGCGCCTGGTGAGGGAGATCGCTCAGGACTTCAAGACCGACCTGCGCTTCCAGAGCTCCGCCGTCATGGCTCTGCAGGAGGCCAGCGAGGCTTACCTGGTCGGCCTCTTCGAGGACACCAACCTGTGCGCCATCCACGCCAAGAGGGTCACCATCATGCCCAAAGACATCCAGCTGGCCCGACGCATCCGCGGAGAGAGGGCTTAAACTCCCCCCACACCTCTTTACACCACAACGGCTCTTTTAAGAGCCACCTCACTAAAGCTCAAGAGCTCCTTCCTCTGATCATGTTCATGAAAACCACTATATATTACTGTTCAAACACTGATACTCACATCACAACAAGAACATGTGTCTTATTTACAGAAACTTAATATTTCAGCAACATGTGAAGTTCAAATAAACTGAAACCAGATTGCTGAGATCAGCAATTATGACTTTATGACCAAAATAAATCTCCTTCACATCAGACTGCTTACAATATGGGAAACTTCTTGTTTTGAACAAATGATTTGCCTCATTTTCAAGATTTCTCTTAGAATCAAAGTGTTAATAATAAAGTAATAATTGGCTACAGCCTGTGAGAAGTTAATTAAATATAAAAATTGAACAAACTGTATTAGAGGACTCCCAAAGAGAGAACACGACTAATAAACTAAATTTTTACTGCATCAAACTGAAACCAATAACCACCAGAAAATAATTGTTCTGATTTAGTGAGAATCCAGCTTCCCATCCAACCTGCAGAAGGGCCCCTGATGAAAGCTGCAGAAGGGCCCCTGATGAAAGCTTCAGTAGGGGAGACCAGGTACAGGTGTAACACCAATAACACATAAGATAGTTAGGTGATCATTTTAGTTGTTACCTTCTTCCTCCCTGATCTGGCACGGTGGTTATCAAGTTTTTGAGGTAAGAAAGTACATTTTTCTGACCAAGACTACATTTTTGTAGTACACTCCAAAAACAACACGTGCAGAATTTAAACACATGTACTGAGTGTGTTCAGGGACAACACGCGTAGTGTCGAGATGTGTAAACTTTTTTAACAGAAATGTGTCATTTCAACACAGTTTTTACAGGATGTGTGAGCCATTTTAACACAAGTTGTGTCGGGTCATTTAACACACCATGGCGTAGCTGACGACCCGAAAACTGCAAACAAACGTGTAACACAAGTAAATGTTGTTGCCAGGAACTAATGGAGAGAAAGATATGTGAAATGTCGACAGGCTACAGAATACATGAGCACAACAAAATGTTTCCTCTCAACTCGACGCGTTCGTATAACAAAAAGTTTACCTGAGCTTTTGATTTGGGATGCAATAAAAAATCTAATAAATAGCAAAAGCATGCGATGATTTAGATGACTACATCCTAACTGTAGCGTTACAGTACATGGGAAGTGTTTCCAGCATCAGTTACAACCGCTAGGCTGCTAATAGTGCAAAGACATTTTAAATACATGTACAATAAAACCTTTAGAATCTGATCTTTAAATTTTCAGTTACATTCACTGGGGAAGTTACATTTGTCTGAAAACAAGTCAAAACAAAATGCTAAACTATACTAACCTTGGTTTTATGTTGGGTAAACTCAACAAAGATTTAACAAAGATCTGTTAGTGAGGGTCACGTTCAGGATCACGGAGTTACTACTGATCATGTTTTACAAAGAAATAACATTTTGTTTCCGCCCGGTTTCGAACCGGGGACCTTTCGCGTGTGAGGCGAACGTGATAACCACTACACTACGGAAACTGCTGACCTCCTATAAGCCCCTCCTTCGCATCATTCTCTACGGCAGCTCTCATCACTGAGGGTGTCATATATTTTTGGCCACAAGCGGGATTTTGGTGGCGCTGTTTCCCCCTTTTGGTCAAAAGTAAGGAGATCAGAACAGACAGCATCTGTTCCAGCAGCAGACACATAAACACAAGAAGTGAGATCTGAAGGTTTATTACATTTAGTTGTCATGCATCATGTTATTACAACATAATCATCATTTAAACAAATGTAGGGTAGAGTGGCTCAGTGTCTGTTTTCTGACACATTAAAGAACATTTTATTGATTTTTTTGTATCTTTAAGAATGCCGTGCTCACGGCAACATATTATAAAGTAAAATAAATACCTACAGTTGACAAATTAATGTGTATTTGATCAAATGTATTTTTCAGGAAAAACGTAGGCCTTTATTCCACATGGGATAAGATCTTTCTCTCTAAACAATTGCATAACTCATCTTAAGGCTCCCCTTAATGTATGTATATATATATATATGTATGTAACAGCTTCACATTAACAAGAACATTAAACTAGCAAAACAGGAGTAGGCTTTCAGTTTGGACTAGTCACAGGATTATTATTGTCTGAGTAAGCACATTATGAGCAATGTACAATCCAGAGTCAAATTCCTCGTATGTGTTCAAATTCCTGGCAATAAAGCTGATGGGCCTACAATGTAGCACTGATCGCTGTCGTTCAGGGGGCCTTTCTCATTTTCCAAACTTCGATATCAGCACGCCATCTTGAAGGACATCTCAATTCTTAAAATGCACATCGAGGAGGCTTGCTGGAGAAGCTATAAGCGAGGATACATCGCTGTATCCTTTGCGGAAGTCTTTTCAGCCGCTGTGATATTTACAAGAGGCGTGACCAGCAGCTGGACCGGAGCAGGACGCTGCAGGGTTCCTGTTGTTGCCTATTAATTATATTGTGTAGCGCCTCATAAAGCGCTGTTCTAACCGCATTTCTTAATGTCGTTTCACTTTGACATCAAGTTGTTATTGTTGAATGTGATGCAGGATTGTAAAAATGAACAGTAAATAGCGGCTGGATGAAGCTTCTCCCCAGTGACACTGTGCGCATTTACGCACGAGCCACAGCAACACAAATTAATAATAATAAATCTCCGACACGCCGACAGGGTCGGTTCGGTCAGGATCTGGTGTTAATTCATGTTCTGTGTTCTTCTTCACATCCAAAAGGTCTCACACAGAGTCCAGGTTCCTACAGTAAAAGTGTTTGGAGTAAAGCAGCCATCCTCCTGATCAGTCCTGAGCTTCATCAGAGTCTAAACGTGGATTATAGAAGCTGAAAGTTTCATTCTGTTTCCTCTCTCTGTCCTGTCAAGTTTATTACTGCAAGGTTTTTCTGTTTTGTCCCACGATATTTGCTGTGACATTACTGCACGGATGGAAACGTTTAAATGACTGACAGCCGCCTTTCTAATCATCTAAGTGAATCGTTAAACATTCATACATCAATATAACACACAAGAAAGAAACCGCCTGGATCTACAGCGACCGGTGGAGGTCTCTAAATCTGACAAAATAATTAGTTGGTGGGGGGCGGGTGGAGGATTTATGCCCATAGGCTTAATGTCCGAGCCGATCCGCGCATCACACCAATTCAGCTGCTATAATCGTGACAAACAGCTGCTGAAGTCAAATTATTAGGCTGTAATATCATCCAGAGCTAAATGATCTCCTGTTTACAGACAAGAAGCGCTCCGCAAAAAAGTGGTAGGTCTAATCTGCTGTGTAGCCTGGTGAATGAAGGTGATGCGTTCAGGAACTTACTGGAAAGTGGATCAATTTCAAGCTGTAACCTGCTTCAGTACATCCTCAGGCAGCAGACGGCTGACTCCGGTCCACCACCTGCTACACCAGCTACAGTCACCGCTACATTGGCTGTTAATGTAAACATTTTAATGTAAGTTACTTAATACACAAATTAACATTGTTTTGTTTTTGCACCATCTAAATTTGATATACTGAAATTTAATATAGCCTACTGAAACGTGAAAAAAAATATCATTATACTGTTACGGGACAGGATAAAAGTCTAATGTCCCCTGTGCGTTCAGGGCCACCAGCAGCAGTCCCCAGGGCCACGGCTGTGTCTCTATCAACAGATCAGTGTGGAGGGAGGATTCTGTTTTCAGCAGAATTCCCCTTCCATTACTATTCTGTCATATAGTTTGTTATTTTGGTCGTGTTCTGGCCTCTTCTAATGTTTGTGTTCTTTATTTCCTTTGGTTGAAAAACACAGCTTAGGCATTTTCACATAAGTCATCCTCTCACACCCTCAGTGTATCTCACACTTTTTTTCACTCTCATACATGTAGTAGCCTACTCATGTTAGGCATTGTCAGGTAATGTAAAACATCTGGCTAAACCGAAGAACACCAGCTCCCTCAATACCTGCCCGGAGAAGGTTTTGGAGACACAGCAGCCGTGGCAGTTTGACCACAGGCAGCCAAACGGTCAGTGTGCCTGTCCAATCCTGCCTTCTGCAACTGTCAATCCTCCACCTTCAGCTCCTCCACAGGAGGAGTTACTGAGTCGGGATACAGATTGTGACAGAGATCCTGGAAAAGCAGCAGCAGCTGAAGAAGAGGATGACCAGGAACTGTTTAGCTTGTGGGCAGCCAGTATCTTGGGGATGGATCTTCACTTCAAAGATAGTAAAGTACTTTTACTGTTTACTAACTTTAAGGTCAATGCGGATGAGGGCCTCAAGAACCCCAGGATGTCTTTTGAAGACTTTGCTGCCTCTCCGTTTGTTGAGCAGGAGCTGGAGGCTGCCAAGCAGAGGGGAGCCAAGTGGAAAAAGGTGGCAGAGGAGAGGGCAAAGAGGAAGTCAGCAGTGCAGCTGCACAGGTCGCCTGTGCAGGTCCTGTCACCAGCCACTAAAGCAGGCCCCTGACAGCCCTCAGCCCCGGTA